AAGCTGATGATAACACAAGTATTATCAAAAGCTAGGAAAAGGAAAAATTTGATATCCGTCTTTGGCTTAATTTTTTCGTTTTTTAAAAATTCTATCCATTACTGAGCTTCATCAATAATGCGGAAAAGCTTACTAGTAAAAGTAGTATAAATACTATAAGAATTTTACTAGCAACTGGGTGCTGTCTTAAAGCAAATTATCATATGTAAATGATGTGTGTTTGTCGAATTGACACGGTTCTTCTTATTTTTTTAAATATTCAATGAACAATTTTGTTTCTAGATTATGAGCAATTTCGTTTTACTCTGATTGATCTAATGATGCCGAATTCAAGTAACACGTCTCATGGCGCTATAATATTAAATCAACAAGCACGTAGCGGAACAAGCGTTTTCGTTATACCGATGACGACTCGAATCTGGATGTATCTCATCTCAAATTGTGCATCAATTGTTTGCTCTTTCTTTGTTCTCTATTATCTGCTATTGGAGAAGAAGCTGCGACAAGGCTTAAATAATCATGCGGTTATCATCATTCTTATCGTTGATCTTGTTACCGAATTTACAGATATTCCATTGCTTATATATTACATGCGCTTCGGAGTTGTTTTAATTCAAGTGTCATTCTATTTCGGGCTTTGGATATATATCGATATAGTTTCATACACAGTAACAGTTAGGTTAGCTGCATGGGTTTCAATCGAGCAACATATTCTTATTTTTCATGATCGATTGCTATCAAAGTCGAAGAATTGTATTCTATTGCATTGCCCAGGTCAATGATTCCGGAGGACGGATACTGTAGGAATCGGCCGGAAAGATGCGGAAAAATCACCGTATCTGGCCGGAAAGCACGGGAAAGCACTGGAAACTGGAAGCAGTATTCCAGTTGGAAGTTACCGGATTTTTTTCCTGTGGATTCCGGTCAGTTTCCTGTGTTTTCCGGTCAGTTTTCTGTGTTTTACATCTGGAAGTTGATCGGAATCTACAGGAAGAAAATCCGGTAACTTCCAACTGGAATACTGCTTCCAGTTTCCAGCGCTTTCCTGTGCTTTCCCGCCGTTTCCCGCCGTACGTCCACGACCTGGGTGTATGTCTATTACTCTAGTTTGTATTTATCATTCTTTGCTTTATTTTGTGATTGTGCCCATATTGATGGCACGCTTCGATGATTCTCCTTCCTTCTCTTTATGTTCTCTTTGCATTGTTCTAATATATATCTCCTATATATACGTGTGTTATGTAGCTATAAAGTTGTTACACTCGGGATATGCGAAGAAGCGAATAAACATCATTGCCTAGAGTGGCACTAAGCTGCTCCACCTCTATCCAGTTTGTCTTAATAAATCAACCAGCAAGGGCCATATTTATCGTTACACATTATAAAGCTGTTTGAAAAGATCATATGACTATTATCGAAATATCCACTGATTAGTCTTGTAGTATTCGGCAATATTAAATTCGCAATACGAAAATAATAAAGTATATGGATTTGTTCGATATTAATTATTGATTCAAAATTCAATGATTCCATATTATTTGAAATTATTAAATAAACGGATAATTTTCTTGGCTTTAAAGTAGATTCTTTACAAATATTAATATCGAAAAATTCATAAACATTTTTAAATTGATGATTTATATAAAATAACCGATGAGTATACAATGCAATATAACAGTTGATATATTGTAAATGTCTTCTTTCAATTGAACACCATTAAAAAGATCATTTGACATCGATTGCAAATCAATAAAATGAAATAATCTATTCGATCGATTCCAAATGAATGGTTGCTTAAAGCAAATATCGATTTCATGGATAATATGTTCAATTAATTCGTTAAAATCTTTCCAAGATGATTACTTTAATTTTGGATAAGACTTAATTCAGCCATTTGAAATTTATTGTTCATCATTTGATGAATACAAATAAATATATTCAATAGAAAAATGTTTATGAATTACTGGATAATACATTGAGCTTTATTATTATAAATTATTAGGCATTTTATTTTATCTTCAGTTGAAAGAGTATTTGATAAAAATTTAAAATCATCATTGAAATTTTCTATAGGATAATTGACTGACAAAATATCATCATCCGGTATACTGAGAGAAATAATACATGAAATGAATTGTAAAATGTTTGGTATTAGGATGTAAAGTTATAATTTATTTTTCTTGAAATAGATTTTGAATATTCGACATTAAGCGTTTAAAATTACGCTGTTCTATCGACAAAATGATCTTCATAACAGTAAATACATGTATGAATCATATATCCCAGTATGAGTTATTATTTTGATGAGAACCCACGCCTTTTTCTAGAGCTTGCTTCAAATCATCTTGATTTTTTCTTGAATAGAACTTATTTTACAATAGTGAATAACATCGCTATCACTTATTTTATTATGAAATAGATTAAACCATTCAAAACAAAATTCTGTTGCTTGATCGAACTTCCCCACTTCAATTGATAGACGAAGTAAACTTGAACATGTTATCAGCTGTAAAATTGTTTTTTGGATATGTTGTTATATAACAGAGATGTCCACAGGGCAACTTTTTGCACCCTGCCCTGTTGAAAAAAAATGAATAAATTTAAGATGCGTCCTGCTCCTGCCCTGTCGGTTTTCAGCAGGGGAGGGCAGGGTACCCTGCTGAATTGAAATAGTGTGTATTGTAATTTTTGATACATTTCAAAATAAAAAGACATGTTTCTCATTGTACCATAGAACAGTTTTTGTTTTAGAGTCAGTTCAGACAAGTCACGATGGACCCTTCTTAATCAGCGGTGGTCGATTTAATCGATACTTTTATAATGATATAGATGCAAGTGTTTGATGAATTCATGCGAAAACTGTTTCAAAAAATCTTGTTCCATTCTTGAGACATTCGATTTTTCTGAGACCTATACTACTTAAAGAAAATATTCATTTTGCTTGAAATTTTCAATGTAGATCTATCTTTAGTTGAGGTATTTTCCCTGAAAATATGAGCTCAAACTGATCGATTATTGATGAGTTGACCTCGAGTACCTGTAACATTGAAAATATTCTGTTTTTTTTTGTATTTTGTGGATGTACATTTTCTTTTAGTAGATAATACTGGCGAGCTAAAATTTTAGCCACAGAGATCTCCTTGACTAGGTCTGGTAAAAAATTTAGTTCTCCAGCTAGCTCCATTTTTGTATGGAATCCTCATGAAAAATGTGATTTCTCCATCACCATGATTTTGATGAAAATCGCATTTTTACAACGGCTCCCGATCGATGAGGACTAACAGGAGAGCTAAATCTTTTATCAGGCTTAGTCAAGGAGATCTCTGTGGTTAAAATTTTAGCTCGCCAGTATTATCTACTAAATGAAAATGTACACCCACAAAATACAAAAAAAACAGAATTTTTTCAATGTTACTGGTACTCGAGGTCAACGTATCAATAATCGATCAGTTTGAGCTCATATTTTCAGGGAAAATATCTCAACTAACGATAGATCTATATTGAAAACTTCAAACAAAATGAACATTTTCTTGAAGAGGTATAAGTTTCAGAAAAAAATCACGAATATGTTAATTTTTGATGAGGATGCTCTTAGAAAAATTTCATTATTTCGAGAATAGAACAAAATATTTTGAAATGGCTTTCGTGAAAACTCATGAAACACTTGTCTCTATCGAGCGTAAAAAACGAGTCAACCGGCGACCATTTATTGAGCAGCTTCAGTGGAAACGGGTCGTGACTTATATGGACCAGGTCAGATAGAGAAACTTCTGACTATCAGTTTGAGTCGTTCTCTGGAGTCTATTTTCTTATTTTTGAGTCTTACGAACTAAAGGAAAAATTTCTTCAGAACGGAAATCCAAACAACTGGGTTTTTCTCAACTATGACTCAATTAATCTCGTACTATTTAATGCATGATATATTATCATGAAAATGTTTTGCATGAAATGCATGGATATTTTTCAAAATAATTTTTTTATAATTGCATTCATATCAAAATAACATCGAAAGAGTGGAAAACGTTCTTTTTTGATGCATTCATTTTATCTTTGAATATAAATGCATGTGTGGATGTGGATGTGGATGTTCTTGTTTCGAACGCCCTCTTTTTCACCTTACAGAGGATCGATGTCAATTCTATCGTAATGGAAAAAAATGTATGTAGATTGTCTTGTATTAACCAATTCGTTAGTGCGCGAATGAAAATTGATAATATAAAAGAAAAGTCACATAAAATAGAAGGAGAAATTTACTCTATAGTTCTTAGAAATTAGAAACAATCAATAGTAAAATTGGATTAGAACGGAAAACGTATTCCAATTGATATGTCTTTGATCATTCTAGTATTAAAGTTTAGATGCATGATCGCAACTAGCCCTACGAGAGTAGCGAATAGGAAGTTCATTAATCATGTTATACATGCTTTTTTTACTAATAATATTAACGATCTTGCTTTTCTGAAGATTATCAGAAAGGCGATATGTGACTCCATTAGAAATATTCTTCATTTTTACAATGTTAACTTTTCGAAACTTATGCAGATCATCATATATTTTAAGATCTGAATGCATCATGCCAAGAACTATACATTTTCGTTTGATAGTATACTTCTATGAGAAAGACTAAAACTTAAACCATAAGAACAGTGGTATTTATCCATTGAATACTTCTGTTGGAATAGAATATTAGCTCAGATTGCCATTGGGATATGCCTAATAATATTGTGCAATAATTCTAAAAGAGACAATTACTTTTCTCTAAAAAGATATCTTGAGGAAAACAAATGTATTTAACTCATCGTGGTCATTATTTGCTATTTGATATAGTAAGACTTTTCATATTGTAATCTATATAAGGAACCAGTTTCAGTGACAGTCAATCTATTCATCAGATTGAATTAGAAAACTTCAAAGAAGACGAAATCAGTTTATTTGAATAGAGTAACAAATTCAGATATTGGTTATATTAGATTTGATAAAATTTACATTTTAGATTATAAATGTCATCCCAAGGTGAATGTTTTTCTCAACAGACTGCATTTTGTACTGCTGGTAGTCATAAAGTAAAATATTTCTATTTATGCCAATTCAAAAGATATATATTCGTACATTGCATTTTCAGCCTATTGAAGTAAAACAACAATCATTAGCTCGTGTTGCTCAAATCATGGGTGTGGTCAGTGAGGAAAAAGAAAATAAAAATTTATCTGAAAATGAAAATGACTTCGACGGTGATGAAGTAGATGATGATCTTGTATTTAGTTCAGTTCCGCAACGTTCATCAATGCCAATAGCAACAAAAATTCATTTTGAAGAAATCGATGATGAAGAAATGCGACGTTTTGCTGAATCATTTGAACACGAACAAGAAGATGTTAAAATGGATGACAATGATGATGAACAACTCTGTGAAGATTATGCACGCAAAATGCAAACACCAACAAAATCAGTACAAATTGAAAACAATAAAAGAAAAGAACCATGTATTGAAGATCTCGATGCACTTCTAAATGATGATGATGATGATGATAAACTCAATAGTGAAAATCAAATAGAACAACAGCAACAACAAATGTCACCTGTATTTAAAAAGAAACCATAAATTCCTTTATTTTACTTTTTATAGAATTGCCCTGTTTCCTTATATATATATGTGTGTAACTATAATATAACTCATAAATAAATCATTTTTGTTATTTTCTTTTAGAATATAGCCTTAAGTAATATTTCACTCCACAAAATCTATCGTGCTTATGATTTATTAGTTAAGCTTGGAAAAAATTTCAATAGATCCTGCTTCTTCAATAAATCATCTTTAGCATTGCGAGCATTATTATATATGCAGGAAAGAATAGCACAAGATATGAGCTTTTAAATAAAACATCATTGCTTTTCTAATTAAAATCTTCTGTAACTTCTTTCATTATCGATTAATAATCAACACATTTTGAATAGAACATTAGAATCTACTGTTCGTTTTTCTTCTGCTGACTATTTGCTTGTGATCGTTTATCTGAGAATTTGTGACAGAGCTACATTGGAATCGATTATATTTATATAGATGTAGAGCATGAGGGAACTTTTCTTTTAAATTAAACTTTGATACTATTCATATGCAAAGAGTATTTTATCATTAGATTTCCATTCCAAAAGTTTTCGACGTATTCCACTTTTCTCCACTCGAAAAGCAAACAATTAAAACACTAACTAGCATCCTGACATTTTTCTTTGATTAAAAGGAATAAAATTATGCGACCAAATACTTCATCGAGAAAGTCTCCTGCTATTTGATTGCAGCACGTGATACAATGTTATGATATACACTGTATTACAAATAAATTCTGATTGATTAGAGCTTTAAAATTATACCTAATGAATTCAAATAATAAACGAATTATCTGTGAAAAGAAATTTAAAAAAAATGTAACAGGGAATTAGAATGGACTAGAAAAAGTTTAAATTAATCTGGAAAACATATTGAAAATAGTTTAGCACAAAATACGGTGAATTTTCTAATTATGGTCTATGTTATGTAAAAGGGACTATATTTGTACAACGATGAAATTATATCATTGATTTACGAAAATTTATGAAAAAATTAAAATTCTAAGATATTTATATAAAACTCTATTCAACAGGTGAAACCTGCCCATACCGGATGTTATAAACTGCTACCAAACTGCAATATTATTGGATCTTCAGATAATCGAACAATGATCATGAGCTTTTGAATATTTATTGATATTTTTGTTTTCAAACGAAAGAAAAAAAATTCACATCTATTGTGTACAGTTCAATAATGAAGAAGAGTTAAAGTGCGAAGACATCCACAGTAGCGGAAATAGTGAAATATTTGTGAATTAAAAGCATAAATTTTAGTATTATATTTCAGATTAAAATTTTATGCTTCTTTTTACATTATTTATGCTGGTTGCAACTAATAAAAACTTATGTTTTAATCATATTGGTGAGACAATTTTTATCTAAAAAGATAAGTTTATAGCTAAACGTGATACTTCGACATTATCTGAAAAATCAAACTAAATCCAGTAATTGTTTTTAGTAGACTTAGCTGGAAAAAATAAAGATTCTTCAACGTAAATAGGCTTCATCATCTTGAACTCTCTCTATAGTAATTTAGATCGTGTAAGATCGGTTACAAATATTGAAAATCATAATTATTGCAATTAGTATCACCACGATAAGCTGTTCATGATTGTGAAAAGAAACCACTATGATATTTCCTTGGTTAACCGCTAAGCGATTGTTAAGATAAAGCATAAATTTTGAATGCTTATGTTTTTTGGACGATTCTGTATGCATAATTGAAAGACTAGGAAAGTGAAGTGAGAAAAGTTTTACTTCCGATCCCAATTTGAAAGAAAATCTAAGTTCATGTGTATAGAAATTCTTCAGCTCTATATATATCGTATAGTTTTCCGAAGATACCCAACAAAAAAAGCTCAAGAATAACTTATTTGATATTCGAAGACCATTTTTTACATTTAAAACGACATATTTGACTGTAGAGTACGATTAAGTTCTTCGTTATTTTTAATTTGATACTTTTCAAGTGAATTATCCAGAACAACGACAATATAATTATTAAATTATTATTTTATTTGAATAGAAAAATGCTAAATTGCAATAAAAGTGCGTCTAAATTATAGTCAGCATCGTAATATTTATTTTTTAGCAATAAAAAAGCGATTGGTTACAATTCAGACCATCGTCCCACGCAATCAGTTCTTACCAGTGCTCGCTTTTGTTATCTATAATTTTAATTTTGCCATTTCAAGTAATATCCATCTATCATTCAATGAAATTCGACCATGTAAGGTTGCCTTTCATATAATCGCACATACTCTGTTTCTAAAGGATCTTATTTATGTTCTTTTTCAAAACAAATAGTCTTACTGTGTGTGAAATATTTCATTCCTAGATTAAGAATACGTCTTGGTCTGCTAGAAAAGCGGATTATTTTTTATTTACATTCAAAGATTAATCTCCATAAAAATCGTTTATTATGAATATTAGCATCATTTTGGTTTATTTTCTCCAAGATGCTCTTATATTCATGGTAATTCATTAATGATAGTAAATGAACAGGCCTTCATTGAATACTTATTTCTACTTGATCACGTACTAAACTCTCTAGCAAATGCGTTGGTGTTTTGCTTTTATAAACAGTAGCATTGCTTTCATTTTCTAATTTATTTCTGTGGCAATAGTGTGTTTGCTTCAATTACGGAAAAACAGCAACTAATGATAATGAATACAAGCGATCATGAGGCAATTGAAAATCTTAGTTTTATTATAAATAAGTTAAATCGTTATATTCCGATAGTATTACTTATTCTAGGAAGTATTGGTCATATATTGAATATACTCGTTTTTGCTCGACCACCACTTCGAACAAATTCATGTTCAATTTATTTAATTAGTGGCAGTATCGCAAGTTTTGTTTCACTTTATGTTTATTTAATAACATCTTTTCTCGCGACATACAATCGTGATCCAACACAAAAATCTAATATTTTATGTGAAATACGTTTTTATCTTCGTTATTCAACAATTACACTTTCAACATGGTTTATTCTCTTCGCATGTATCGATCGATTGTTTACAAGCTCGAATAATGCTTATATTCGATTGCGGAGTTCATTATATTTAGCTAAACGTACTATAGTTATAGCTATTATTCTTGTTTTATTTGTCCGTATTCACAAGTATTTTATTGCTATGCAATTCATCGAGACAATATTTGCACACAAACAGATCAAACATGTAAAGTTGTAAATCGCATTATCTTAATTTTATATAATTTCGGTCTACCACCTATTTTAACGGTAACAATTAATATATTAACCATTCGTAATGTTCGATATTCAAATCAAATTTTTTTCTAATTGTCGTCAACGTCATCGCCGTCATGATATACAGTTAATACGATTATTATTTATACAGGCTGTTTCGCTAATGCTATTTGGAATACCAATAACTGCACAAAAAGTTTATTCATTTTCGACGATATTCACGAGAAACAATTTAATAACGATAGCTTTTGACAATTTCATGATTCAAGTTTCTACTGAAATTTCTTATGTTAGTAATAGTATAATATTATATATATATATATATATATGCGTTAACAAGTAAAACATATCAAAAAGAAACTTTTAGGATTTTATCATCATTATCTAAACGTTGTTGATCTAACAAAATAAATCCTGTACAAAATATTAATGCGTCTAGAATAAATCAACATGTAATAACTACAACAGTTGTTAATGGTTCATATCAAATGAATATTCAAAATCGAAATGAAAAGATTTAAAAAAACCTTATTCTACTCATAGTTTGGATGTTGTTTCTTATTCAATAAAAATGAGCGTGTCCTATAGTCTAGGTTTGTTTGACATTAACATATCAATTATTTTACTTGCATTCTATTACATAAAGTGAAGTGTTCTCAAAAACTATTTCGGATGCTGGTATAAAGCAGTTTTATATCTCAAGTAAACGTAATTATTCTATAACAATGTATCGAAGTTTTCTTATGACAATATTAACATTGGCGTTGTTTTCTTATTTTTTTGATAGCATTTGAATTACAAAAAAATAACGAAAGATAATTTTATTCGTATTCTGTATTATTTCACCGACATCTTATCAATAATGTTGAATTATTTATCATTATAAAAACATTTGTATAACAACTATTCTGTATTTTTCTATCATAGAAATCTTTAATTGCATTATAAAATGATTTTCTCCTTTTATAAATATCACTATTACCAATAAATAATCACTTATTGTTTCTCGGTAGGATGCATGATGTTGAATAATAAATATTTTATTTCTCGAAAAAAGTCAAGGATATACATAATAAAAAAACATGCGCATACAAATGGCAATGCATACTTGCTTGATGCTGGGTATCTCCGAGACCAACGCGTACCATCGAGAACAAAATATAATACATTTGCATGAATCATAGATTCAAAATCAGTGAAACAAGGAAGCTTCTACTAGGTGTATATTCATGAGTAGTGTACGAACCACCCACATAAATAAATATATATATATATACATTGTTGACAACCACTATTCAAATATTTTTACTTCCTTCTTTTTTCAACAGCGTATAGAAACATCGAGTAACGCAACTACTAGTTAGAATGATTCTACTTTTTAAACTAGTTGTATCATTTTTTTTCGAGAATGTCATCGAGACATATTAATAATTAAAACATTTATATTCTCCGTTATTTTATCCGAAAAAGGGTACACGTTACTTTTTATTTTTTTACAATTTATTGCGTTGAAAGTTTCTATTTTACTACCAATGATTATTTTAAGATGCTATCATAGTCAAATAGCATGAGATTTATCGAAGATTAATCTGTATGAATAAAAAGAAATCGATTAGGTAACCAGATTTCGTTTTTCAATAACATTGATAATGTAAAATCGTTTTTTCTTTTTTTCTTCGCTTTTTATACTTGTTCATCTACGTAACATAAGACAAAATAAATGACTCGCCATTCTTCACCATAACCACTTTGAGAATGTGAGAGAAGAAGAAAAATTTAAGGTAACACAACAATATTTTGTGCTCTGTATAGAAGTAAGTTGAAGACATCATTTTTCCTTTGCATACCAAACATATATACACATACATGTTTGATATCACAGTTGTAGATCTCAACATCGTCAAGTATTCAATATAAAAATGAATGGTTTCTTTTTTCTTTTAGATATCATTTGTTTTGTCTCTTCTTTGAATCAAGTTAGACGACTATTGCTCCTATATGAGTGTTTTGAATGTACGTATATTTGAATGAATTACCAACAGAATGAAATTTTTGTTCTCTTTTTGTGTACAGTTATATTGTTGAGTGATTGCGACCACCTTGCCAATTTAAAGCATCAATTGTCTCAGTATGTAAATTGAAATAGTTCTATGCTTCTTCTGTTTTTCTTTTGTCGTAGTTATTGTTATTATTGATGTGAAAGAATGATCTAGGCTTATGCTGACAAGTGTGCATTGTAGAATTTATATCCTTGATCTTTTCTTCATCATTTTGTAAAACGAAAAATACTGAAAAAAAGATCAGGGTTAGTTATCTGTGTAAAACTTTGTTTAAAAAATGTAATATATGTTATGTTGATATACGATTAAACTATCATAGTGATTGATATAGAATTTCCATTGTTCTTATGAATTGAGCAGATAGGAAGTCATCGATCAATATCCGACATCTAAATTTCATGGGTTTTTATATGAGAATCTTTTTTTTAATATTCTAGTTGACGCATGATCATTTTTTCTTCATAATCGTCTTCTCAACTTTCCCTTTTTTCCTTTCCACTCATTTTGTTTATTGGACGCCTTATTTCTTCCTCGTAGAAACTAAATCATAAAACATGTAACCGGAGTCAATAGACCAAGCAAAATCAAGAAACAACATGGCAAATTCAAGCCTATAATTTTGATATGCTGCTACATACTATTGTCAATGATTACTCAATCACAAGTATCTCAAAGTCATGCCTTCACTAATCTTTATTTTCTTCTTTTCTTAATCTTTGACAACAACAATCAAGTAAAAACAAAAAACTGAAATAGTTTTTTTTGTCTTTCTTTTTTATTAGAAGTAAAGTATTGCACCTGTATTGACGTGAATGGGCAATTGTACTGTGGTTCCTACATTCCGTCGCACCCCGGGAAATTCAAACAGTAACACATGCCCTACAACAATTTCCTCAATAACACAAAATACATCATCACATTTACCAAAACGTGAAACTTATGTGGTGCATCATAATTTGCCATCATCTCCTGATTCTCAATTATGGATTGCGATAAAAAATCGACGCCGATATAAACACAAAACAAATCGTATAAAAACTACACGTTATAATCTTATAACATTTTTGCCAAAAAATCTTTTCGAACAATTTCATCGTATAGCTAATATCTATTTTGCAATTTTAATTGGTCTCAATTGGATACCTATTATTAACACTATTTCTAGAAATGTATAGATCGTCCTTTTCAAACATTGTGTTTCAAATTTATTTTTTAATATTTCTAGGTCACTTTTATACCATTAACAGTTATTTTAACAATCACAGCTGTTAAAGATCTCGTCGAAGATTTAAAACGATGGCGGAGTGACTCTAAAATAAATAAGCAAACGACTGAAGCTTATGATAAGTGAGTTGAATATAAAAAGTAGCAATCCGTACTAAAAATTAATCATATACTATCTTCGTAACTAACATATATAAATAGATACCATTTCCAAATAGTACCGGATGTAAGTTTTTTGAATAACTTCTAAGTCAATGATTTTAAAATATTTACGTCATATATAATGATTGAACCTTGAGAAATTCGCTACATTTTCTCTTCTCTATTTTGGAATATTTCAGCCAAATTTACATCAAACACAATCAGCTAGTTCATTGATTTTTATTTCTTAGAGCATCAAAAAGTTTTATTGAATGTAAATGGGAAGATCTTAATGTTGGACATGTTGTTCGAGTACGGACTGATCAAGTAGTACCAGCTGATATTCTACTACTCGCTTCATCGTCTTGTGAAAGTACATGTTATCTAGATACAGCTGCTATTGATGGTGAAACGAATCTTAAACAAAAAAGTATACCATCTTGCTTTCTAAATTATACAAAATCCGAAGAAGCAAGTTTTGAATTACAATGTGATCCACCCAATGATGATATTTACCATTTTTGTGGTCGAATAATTCTATCTAGCGGATCCCATGTTTATCCGTGTGATAATAATAATATTCTTTTACGTGGATGTGTATTAAGAATCACAGAATATGTTGATGGACTCATTGTCTATGCTGGTAGGTTTTTGTTACTTTTCACTTTTGCATTTTTTCTTTGTTTTATTTTATTTTATGAATATTAAAGGTAATGAAACAAAAGTTATTAAATCTTCTCGTCATACGATCAGTAAACATGCGCTTATTGAACGATATATTAATCGTGATGTATTCTTCTCGAGTATAATCTTAACCGCTTTATGTTTAATTTGTGCTGGTTTAGCAATTAATTGGGATCTTTCATATGGTTCTCAGTGGATGTTTGTACCATTTCTAGAATACAATCCCTTTGATGGTGTTGCTGGTCGGTTTTTTATAAACGCTCTAACTTTCGTAATATTATTTCAAGTGATGGTGCCCATCGCATTATATGTATCGTTAGATGTTGTTCGTGTTCTACAAATGTATACAATAGGACGAGATAAACATTTGAAATATGAACATCCAATAAGTTGCCGAACATTTACAATCAATGAAGATCTTGGCCAAATAGGTTATATATTTTCTGATAAAACTGGTACATTAACACAGAATAAACTGGTATTCAAAGCAATGTCAATTGGTGGTTTACAATACTCTGTTCGGTAAGTATTTTGATTAGCTTTAAATAATTTTTCTCAATACATGACTACTTAATTATATTGCCAATTTGATGATAGAATTGATCAGACGATATGGTTAGAGGAAAATTAGTTAAAATTATAAGTGCTCACTTTTTTTTATACGCATTCGAAAACTCTGTAGTAAAATTTGACTACATGGACTATGTAAAATCATTGGGTAGAAGCTACTTTAAATATCATATATCATCTGTTTACTAATGTTATATAGCCGAAAATCAGTAGAGTGGAACTTAATTTTTACGTTCATCTTGATAGATTTGTAACGGTACATCTGTTAGTTTAGTTAAATCAAAGAAATTCATAAGAAACTTTATATATATACATATATCGAACGAATTTTTTTAATTTTGTACTAAATAACAAAAGAAATATTGAGTGACACTAGTTTACCTTCGGGGCAAAACATCTTCTACATATTGTTGCTATATTATGACTTTTAATGATCTTTCAAAAGAACAGAAAAACTTTTAATATTTTTCTTTATCACGACACAATTTTTATGTATACAAGAAAAGTTTGATATTTGAAATCACTGTAAAAATCAAGCCAAATCCATCAGATCCAAAAGAATTTATTTCATGGAAATAACGCTAGCTCTATCTGACTACAGGATAAAATCTAAATATAGAACAATTGTGGAGCGTTTCTAGTGATTTTAATGTAGGAGACCAAGTGTATTGAAATATTATTGATCAAATGTGATTATTACACTCACGTCAGTACGAATGTCACATTTATTACGATTCATGTCGTCACGATGAGAAATACTGAAAGATTCTTTTTTACCTTATCGGCAGAACGACTAAAAAGAAAATTATTTAGTTTCGAAAATAAACTCAATTTTTCAATATAAATTTTTTTTTCATTATTTGCCAAAAAAGCTTCACATAACCTGCATCAAGTTCAACGGGGACTTTAATTTGAAAAAATAGCAGCAGATGCACTATCGAAAATCTATTACTATGTACTGATAACGTGTGACCGACTATGATGATGTTCGATTCTATAGTCCCAATAGATATATGATATTCACTCGTTGAAAGAACTTATTTTCTTCCAAATTTGCATCATTTATATATAGAAATATTCCATTAAAAACATTTCTGCGTTTCATTGAAGTACAATCCTAGCAAGCATGTTTGAAATATCTTATAACTATTATATGAATAGTAGATAAATGATGCTAAATAATGACTTTTCGAATACCTGAAAAGGGATAGAAATTTCAAATTTGAATCGATGTTTCTTATGTTGAGTTTATTATTCTTGCTATCATGAAATTTCTATTAAGTAGCTAGATCAATAAGGACTGTTATCTATTTTGAATTATTTTTCTTAGAAGAATGACATTCGACCCGATGATGCCGAAGCTATGTGAAGAAAATCAATATTTTTTCAGAAAATTTGAGCTCGTCAATATCATAAAATAAATAAATGATCAAGATGAAAACTCAGAATATTTATAGGCTGCTTGAAAATAGCTGGAAATTAAATAATTCTCTCACTCTCTTGACATATTTTTTTGCTTTTTTCATACATAAAAGTTACTAATATAATGTTGTAGTTGATATTTTCTTTTGATATATCCATGGTAAATCCTTTGATATTACAGCATATTCATAAACTTCCTGTTGAAACCGATACGTCGAATGATCAATGTACGTTGATTACTTATATGTGCTTCAGATTATTACCCATGAAGCTATATTTTTTATATTAGTGAAAAACTAGCGTAGTATTCAAAAATACTGGTTCCTTACAAGAAGATTAATTGAAGTATCGAACTGAGAAAGACACTTATGAGTTAACGATATCATTGTATATTACGTTACCTAATAACAGAGGAAATCTTCGTTTAAGCAATGCTTTATTTGAACCCATTCCGAATATGAAAATCAGAGATCTGCTATTTTTATGTAATCGAAATTTCTGACATACAAAAAAAAATGATGAGTTACAATTATCCTCTACTAAGTCTAGACATTAACAGTATATTATCGTGCTACTGGAACGATTGTATCTTGATCATTATCTTAAGCATCACAAAATTAGTTAGGTACACATTTATTCGAAAAAGTTCTTTCTTCTAAAATTGAATCCTGCTTGGTTGCAAAAGAAATGTACCGTTCAATATGAAAGACTTTTCAAGAAAGATTAAATAGATTTAGAATCTTGCATTTAACATTCTTCCCGTTTTAGTTCTGAATTACCAACTGAAAACTCGACGATTGTTCAACATTTTCTAACTGTACTCGCTATATGCAACACATCATTTATGGTTCATGATCATCAAGAACTGATGCATCGAATTGATTATCAACCGAAATACGAAGGCGACAATGCTGATGATCTTGTACTTTGCCAAACAGCATCTGATTTTGGTGTCAGAATGATTTCGCGTTCTGCACAAAATATTCTTGTGCGCCATATTAATTCGACAAATACAGAAAAAGAAGATGTCGAATATGAAATCTTATGTTTACTACCGTTTGATTCTACTCGAAAGCGAATGTCGATTATTGTTCGTCGAAACGATCAAATATTTTTATTTATCAAAGGCGCTGAAACATCCATATGGCCACATTTAAGTAGTTTGAATGACGTCCATATGAAAGCTACTATTGAACAAAATAGTTTGAGTTTTGCTGAGCAAGGCTATCGATCTCTTCTAGTTGCTTATCGACAATTGACATTAACAGAATTCGAGAGTTGGTTTCAGCAATACGAACAAGCAGCTAATTCGCTTGCAAATCGTGATGATGCTATTTCAGATGCTGCAACTGCAATCGAAGTCGAACTGATGCTAGCTGGTCTAACGGCTGTAGAAGATAAACTACAAGACGGTGTACCGAAAGCTATTGCAACATTACGATGTGCTGGTATTAAAATATGGCTTCTAACTGGTGACAAGCAAGCAACAGCGCTGAGTACAGCACAAGCTGCATCGTTAGTTAATATTCCACAAACGTTAACATCAGGAAACAGTTCTCTCTCTAAAGTAAGTTCAAAGATATTTTTATTACGAATATTCATCTCCTGATGACTATTGTAGAATAATTCTCCAGCGACAAACTCTTGGGATTTTGGTGCATCCGCACAAGCTCAATTAAATCAATATACTCACATGATTTATTATAGTTCACAACTCATTGAAATGGATCAACTATTGCGTATGCTTTTGTAGCTTCACCGCTATTTATATTGATGCTTTGTTAAATAGGTACTCGTGGCGGAACTATGTCCGATGAATTACGTACTGGCGAAACGATCTCTCGTATGAGCGAAGTAATAGCTGCACAAAACCTACCTGTTTCATTGGTTGTTACTGGTGAAGATTTAGGTGAGATATTTTCGAATGATTTCCATGTGCATGTAATTGATGTAACTAGGTGTTATCCTTCGATATAAACCAAAAGAATTCATGAAAGCTGCATGCCAATGTCAATCGGTGTTATTTTGTCGAGTATCAGCAAAACAAAAACGTGAACTTGTATCTGTAGCAAAGTCAGTGTTTAAATATCGTATATTAGCCATTGGCGATGGTGCAAATGATGTTGGTATGATTCGCGAATCGAATTGTGGTGTCGCTGTTTATGGTCGCGAAGGATCGCAAGCAGTAGCAGCTGGCGATTTCGCTGTTGATCGTTTTGAATGTCTTACTCGTCTTTTACTTGTTCACGGTGCTTGGTGTTTTACTCGAACATGTGAATTAATCCTTTATACGTTTATGCACAATTGTGCCTATGTATTCGTTATTTTCTATCATCAATTGTTCAATGGATTTTCTGGCGCTGTCTCCCTTCACTCGTTGTGTAAGTCTATAACAGTATTATTCGAAAAGTATAGAATTAGAAATGGATTAAAAATTCATTGGTAATTTTTTTGTTTTGTTTTAAAGATATTCTTCTGTACACAAGTTTATTCACTGTTCTTCCGCAAGTAAGAAATGAAAAATGTTCTTTTAACTTTATCGTTACTAGGGGTATACCAGTTCTCAGATCTAAGTTCAGATGAAATGAGCGAAAGAACTGTTCGGACAGATCAGATCTAAGAATTGTGAGAATCTACACTGGGATGATGTCTATATCGATATAGGCGTCTCTTATGGGATCTGAACTGTCATACTCCTAATCGTTACAAAATGTTTTAGTGTGCTGCTGCTCTGTTCGATCAACACGTTCCAGCTGAACGAGCATTACATGAACCTCAGTTATATGAATATACTCTACACGCTAGATGCTATCGGATTTGGTCGTATTGGATCAATATTCTAGATGCAGTTTGGCAAAGTGCCACAATCTTTTTTATTGCTTACTTTGCATATGCAAAACATGCAGATATTGATGCTTTAGTATTCGGTTTTTCAATTGCATTCAGTATGACAATAACTTCAATGATACACGTTGTCTTGCAAACAAAACGTATTGATCTAGCACTGGTCGGTTCCATAGCATTTAGTCTTCTTGTTTTTCTTGGTTTTACACTTATAATGGATGCTACCTGTATTCTTTGCCTGAATGGGCAGAGTCCGTATCATGTATCTTACATGGCATTTCGTCAAGGTTTATTTTGGTTAACCAATCTGTTTACGATTATATTAGCAATGTTGCCACGTTTTTTTGTTAAATGTATATATAATTCAACGGGAAATCCATTATTAAGAAATGACCAAAAAGAACATGTTCCTTCTTCAACGCAAGATACTCGTTTTTGATGAAAAATTTCTTGGAATCAATAGAACTCAATAAAATTATTGATATATAAATGCAAATCATTAAAATATGATATAGTTGATAAGAAGCCGCCTATACAAGTCCGGTGATATAAACGATGATAGAAATCTACTAAAATTAAACCTAGTCAAATAAAAGCGTTTATATAAAAACTATTTAACGTGAATAGAAAATTTTATATTTTACTGTGATGAACTGTTATGCCTTAACATCCTTGCTGTTTTCAGTTTAAAAAGAAATCATGAAATATGCAGGGTTTCAAATTTTTTGTTTTCTGTTTGTTTATTTTAGTCATTATGTTTCATGTTCGTGCTTTTAACCATATCTTTTATTTTATTTGATATGAAAAACAATCATATAACATCTGTTGCGTTTTCCGAGGCAATCTTTAAAATAAATATTATGTGACACTTTTTAATCTATGTTATATATTTAACTAAAACAAATAGCAAGATAGAGTTTAAATTAAAATGTTTTGACGATAAACAAAATAAGTACCAAATAACAAAGTGGCAATGACGCTGTGCCAATCAATGGTTGTCCGTTGTCATTGAACTTCTTGATATCAGTATTTTAAAGAATTTTGAAAATTGAATTTTTTTAATTATTATAGTTTCTGATAAATAAAAGTAGTTTGTATTTTGAGTATAGATAACAAATAGTAATCGAGCAAAGACTCTGTTAGGAATTGGATACCAATAAATTGTCAAAGTTATAATAAGTATATAATATCTAGAGTTTCCTGTAAGATTTGACGTTTTCTCAAAAATTGGTACTTTCAAATCATGATCTCGAACTTGAACCAAATAAAAAAGCTCTCAACTAGATAGATTAACTTAGCAACAATGGTTCATATGCTAAAAAAAGAGTTGATTCGTGATATGAAACTTTCAAGTTACAGTTCCTATTACGTAGATAATTAATAGGAAAGGTAGTTTTTGAAGGTTTCATATCTCTAATAGACTGCCGTGAAAAAAAATTAACTCTTCTCGCCGTCGTAGCTTCCATAGCCAGAGATTTCTAGAAAATAGATCTATGAAAAACCTCATAGTTTAAAGAATCTCAAATCCTGAGAGGGAATATTGATAAGAAGATTATGTTGTTTCTATTATAGTCGAAAAATTATTCAAATTAGAAGAGAAAAATCTGTGAAGGTTCCCCTACAAACTATATTTCATCGTTCAAAAATGAAAATGTCATGTTTAAAAATTATTTTTCTAATGTCTGATTTACTTATACTATCTAGGTTGCTCACAAGTATCCTGTTTCTCGTGTAGGATAAAAATCAAGATGAATCTTATTAAACACACCATTTTTTAATCCAGAATGTGAATGAAACAAAATAACAATCAATTCATTGTCTACTCTATTAGACAAAAAAGTGTTTGAAGAAGATTAGCAAGTATTAAGTGATTATAAGCCATGCGAGAATCACGCATTAACTATTGATGTTTGTAGATGTCAAGGAACAACGATTGAATTTCTAACAATCAAAATTCGTTCAAACAATCATCTTAACAAAACCAAGCTAAGACATGACAATCAATCATCAAGATTGACACAGACAAATATTAATAAACTTCTTGACAATACGACTCACAATCCAGCCATCTTATTCTGTGTCATTGTGTACCTTCTTTTTTTTATAGTTTGTGACTCTACTTTTAATACAAAAATAAAGGAAAATCCACCTACATTTTCTAACATTACAACAACAGGTCAAATAACTATGGTTGTTGCATCAGAACACATAGAAAATTTGATCAAATGATTATTCATCACTTTTTGAAAACATAAAAAGATATATTACCATGGTTGTTTTTGCTTTTTATTCTTTCACAAGCAAGAGAAAATTTCTGAATAGGTCCCCGATTGATCGACGGTAAAGTATAGGATTACTCATTTTTTCTTAACGATTCATCATCTTTTTTATGATTTACTCGCTCAAAATAAATAATATAACCATGAACTTCTTATAGTCTCTCTACATGCCTATACGTGTATACGAGCATACTTATCTTTCGTAAATGTATTTTTTTAAGTAGATACGCGTAAATGTTTATATATCGATGTCGAATATATTAAAAAAGAATTTACTTCAAACGATTGCTTATTTATGAAGAGTTGATTCGGTACATAGAATTCTTGTTGGGAGATAAACGAACATATTTCAACTTTTAAACTCATTAGAACATTGAAGTATAATCGAAAATTCTGTTTTTTCTTAAAATTTATATATATATTCGAGCAGCTGGAAAAATTAATGGCTATTTTTATTAAGTCTGTTCTATTTTTACGTTCTTTTTTCTTTTTTTTTATTCTGCCATATTGATTGTTATTGACACGATTACACGTTTCTAACGTTGTTGCTCTTATTTTAATGAAACAGAAGTCTGCTCGAGACCGTTCCTTGTATCCATGTTATTCTCGGGAGCGTTGTTTATAAGTGGTTCTTTTTAAAAAATTGAGTTTTTTCTATTTTTTTAATAAGGGCCATTTTTTTCTACGATAACTTGATTTCTTCAGTTTTCTTTTCAGTATGAATAAGCATCGATTAGATTGAGTTCGAAGTACATTCACAAGAATGGATGGAAAAAAATAAAAAATAAAAATATCGCACTGGTACATCTACATTTTCAGCCCTCAATTTTATTTTCGATATTTTTATTTTCTACATTTTTCCTTTCTCTTTTTTCCCATCTTACCATTCGCAAAAAACGAAAAATATCTACTTTTCTTTTCAATAAAAACTGCGCATGAGTTCACTTTGGCAAGAAATATTTGTGGTACTTAAATCTTTCCAGTCATTTTTATGATTGCGTTACTCGTTTTATGTTAGCGTGAAGAACAAATAAAAAGTAATGCATAACTCCTTCAATGACGTACGTCTGAAAAATATTTATTTGAAAACATATGAATAAAATTTCTATATGTGATTATTTCATTACTATATTCACCTGCGCCAGAAACAAAATATGTAACCTGTAATTCTATCATAGGTATCATCGGAAGGACTAAAATAAATATTCATATTTAATACGAATAGTAATAAATATTATGAAAAAAGATGGAAGTCGTGTTACTTTTAAAATAAAGATGTTTTGATAAGAAATTGCACGCTGTGAAAATTTTGAATTAGTTTTAATCGTCTAGTCATGACTGTGCCCGTGTAGTACGTTGATTGCCAGCATATAAAAGATGACTTTGATATCAGAGGATCAAGGTGAAAATGTCTTGATTTTAATCTTTGTACACGAAACAGATTCATTAATGTGTGCACAAGGAGAAACCTATGAAGACAAGGGCGTATAGAAACACGTTTGGCGATAGTGCAAAAATAATTTGTTATTTTGAGTCCTTTTTTTTGTTACACATTCAGGTATATTCGCTATTGAGCAAATATGATTATCATATCTACAAAGTTAAAAATTTCACAAAAGAGACTTTTATTTTTGAAAAATTTCAATTATCTTTTAAATTAACGACACTACTGTACCTAAAGGTAAGTAATGAATGTAAAGCAGTCTAATATGAAACGATGTGGGATACTAGTATAATGTCCTTCTATTTTATTGTCAAGGAGAGTTACTTCATTCAATTGAAATTAAAAAGCCCAAAGAACATTTTCATATCAGGCTCTCTTTAACTTTATTTCAGATTTTTTTCCTAGTTTTCATTCTTTTTGTCGTTCACGTACTTAATAATTACCAGAAAGAAGAAAAAAAAACAATTACGTTCGTTATCGATGATTGTCATTTGAACTGGAATAAAGAAAAACGTAAAATATGTAAAACACCTCACAAGTGTATTGTGAACAGGTGAGTGTGTGCCGTACAATATTCTAGCAGGATTATAGAACAAAAAAGATTCAAATAAAAGCAAAAACAATATTTATATTTAGGACTTTATTCATATAGGCAAGTTCTCTGTTTTTTTACCCATATTTAGAGTCGTTACTTAAAATTCAAAGGCATTTAAAAAAATTTGCTCGGACAAAACTAAATGGTGCTTGTTTTCGAGATACGTCAGCGAATAAAAAAAAACATATTGACTTTGTACATTCTATTGTTTTATAGCGACCGGCTCTTTTTTTTTCTCGTTACATTATGTCTCCAACACGCAACGTAACAACCGTGACATCACAATTTTTTTTTCTTTTTTTCTCTTTTTTCTGCTAGCTGCTGATTCTTTGAGTAGATATTTGATCATGCCGATATCGTGAAATTCTGAAAGAAGCAAAAGAAAAAAAGTCTGCTGAAGGAAAATGTTTTTTTTTTAAGTTATGATTTTTTTGTATGATTAATGCAAATATTCTTTGCCATCAAAACAATTTTAGTTCTTTTTTCTTATTTTGTTTTGGTAACCATTTTCTTAGGTTTTAACTATGTTTTTATGAAACTAGTTCGGCTAGAAAACATTGATTAAGTCAATAGAATAGACATGTCATCACGATAAATAATTGACGAATATACACATTTGATTGACATCATTCTCACAATCGTATGTGGACATTCGATCATCGATGTTTTTTCTTTCTCTTCTAGTCGAGTAACCAACGCAATTTTTTAACAGCTAACTATTCAAATCATTTCAACATGGGAGGCTTTTTTGCTGTGCCATCATTTAGTAAAAGTTATAATGTAGCACAACAGCAAAACGGACAAACGATAGTAACAAATGATCCACAACACGTAAGAAAGGAACGCGAAACTTACAAAGTTTATTGCAATGCTTCGTCAGATGTTGAATCATCAACATGGGTTGCGATAAAAAACCGACGAAAAAAGTCTAAACCAGGAACCAATCGTATAAAGACAACACGTTATAATGTTATAACATTTTTACCGAAAAATCTTTTCGAACAATTTCATCGTGTAGCTAATGTTTATTTTGCAATTTTAATTGGTCTCAATTGGATACCCATAATTAATGCCATTTCCAAAATGGTAAATACTATTCTTTCCATCTTATAATAACTAAAATATTTTGTTAAATAATATTTTAGGTCGCTTTTATACCATTAACAGTTATTTTAACAATTACAGCTGTCAAAGATCTTGTTGAAGATTTAAAACGATGGCGAAGTGATTCATATATAAATAAACAAATAGCTGAAGTCTATGACAAGTAAATTTTCATAACGAGTCTTTTGTGTCATATAGGTTATTCATCATCTTATTTTGCTTTTTCTTAGAGCATCAAAAAGTTTTATTGAATGTAAATGGGAAGATCTTAATGTTGGACATGTTGTTCGAGTACGGACTGATCAAGTAGTACCAGCTGATATTCTACTACTCGCTTCATCGTCTTGTGAAAGTACATGTTATCTAGATACAGCTGCTATTGATGGTGAAACGAATCTTAAACAAAAAAGTATACCATCTTGCTTTCTAAATTATACAAAATCCGAAGAAGCAAGTTTTGAATTACAATGTGATCCACCCAATGATGATATTTACCATTTTTGTGGTCGAATAATTCTATCTAGCGGATCCCATGTTTATCCGTGTGATAATAATAATATTCTTTTACGTGGATGTGTATTAAGAATCACAGAATATGTTGATGGACTCATTGTCTATGCTGGTAGGTTTTTGTTACTTTTCACTTTTGCATTTTTTCTTTGTTTTATTTTATTTTATGAATATTAAAGGTAATGAAACAAAAGTTATTAAATCTTCTCGTCATACGATCAGTAAACATGCGCTTATTGAACGATATATTAATCGTGATGTATTCTTCTCGAGTATAATCTTAACCGCTTTATGTTTAATTTGTGCTGGTTTAGCAATTAATTGGGATCTTTCATATGGTTCTCAGTGGATGTTTGTACCATTTCTAGAATACAATCCCTTTGATGGTGTTGCTGGTCGGTTTTTTATAAACGCTCTAACTTTCGTAATATTATTTCAAGTGATGGTGCCCATCGCATTATATGTATCGTTAGATGTTGTTCGTGTTCTACAAATGTATACAATAGGACGAGATAAACATTTGAAATATGAACATCCAATAAGTTGCCGAACATTTACAATCAATGAAGATCTTGGCCAAATAGGTTATATATTTTCTGATAAAACTGGTACATTAACACAGAATAAACTGGTATTCAAAGCAATGTCAATTGGTGGTTTACAATACTCTGTTCGGTAAGTATTTTGATTAGCTTTAAATAATTTTTCTCAATACATGACTACTTAATTATATTGCCAATTTGATGATAGAATTGATCAGACGATATGGTTAGAGGAAAATTAGTTAAAATTATAAGTGCTCACTTTTTTTTATACGCATTCGAAAACTCTGTAGTAAAATTTGACTACATGGACTATGTAAAATCATTGGGTAGAAGCTACTTTAAATATCATATATCATCTGTTTACTAATGTTATATAGCCGAAAATCAGTAGAGTGGAACTTAATTTTTACGTTCATCTTGATAGATTTGTAACGGTACATCTGTTAGTTTAGTTAAATCAAAGAAATTCATAAGAAACTTTATATATATACATATATCGAACGAATTTTTTTAATTTTGTACTAAATAACAAAAGAAATATTGAGTGACACTAGTTTACCTTCGGGGCAAAACATCTTCTACATATTGTTGCTATATTATGACTTTTAATGATCTTTCAAAAGAACAGAAAAACTTTTAATATTTTTCTTTATCACGACACAATTTTTATGTATACAAGAAAAGTTTGATATTTGAAATCACTGTAAAAATCAAGCCAAATCCATCAGATCCAAAAGAATTTATTTCATGGAAATAACGCTAGCTCTATCTGACTACAGGATAAAATCTAAATATAGAACAATTGTGGAGCGTTTCTAGTGATTTTAATGTAGGAGACCAAGTGTATTGAAATATTATTGATCAAATGTGATTATTACACTCACGTCAGTACGAATGTCACATTTATTACGATTCATGTCGTCACGATGAGAAATACTGAAAGATTCTTTTTTACCTTATCGGCAGAACGACTAAAAAGAAAATTATTTAGTTTCGAAAATAAACTCAATTTTTCAATATAAATTTTTTTTTCATTATTTGCCAAAAAAGCTTCACATAACCTGCATCAAGTTCAACGGGGACTTTAATTTGAAAAAATAGCAGCAGATGCACTATCGAAAATCTATTACTATGTACTGATAACGTGTGACCGACTATGATGATGTTCGATTCTATAGTCCCAATAGATATATGATATTCACTCGTTGAAAGAACTTATTTTCTTCCAAATTTGCATCATTTATATATAGAAATATTCCATTAAAAACATTTCTGCGTTTCATTGAAGTACAATCCTAGCAAGCATGTTTGAAATATCTTATAACTATTATATGAATAGTAGATAAATGATGCTAAATAATGACTTTTCGAATACCTGAAAAGGGATAGAAATTTCAAATTTGAATCGATGTTTCTTATGTTGAGTTTATTATTCTTGCTATCATGAAATTTCTATTAAGTAGCTAGATCAATAAGGACTGTTATCTATTTTGAATTATTTTTCTTAGAAGAATGACATTCGACCCGATGATGCCGAAGCTATGTGAAGAAAATCAATATTTTTTCAGAAAATTTGAGCTCGTCAATATCATAAAATAAATAAATGATCAAGATGAAAACTCAGAATATTTATAGGCTGCTTGAAAATAGCTGGAAATTAAATAATTCTCTCACTCTCTTGACATATTTTTTTGCTTTTTTCATACATAAAAGTTACTAATATAATGTTGTAGTTGATATTTTCTTTTGATATATCCATGGTAAATCCTTTGATATTACAGCATATTCATAAACTTCCTGTTGAAACCGATACGTCGAATGATCAATGTACGTTGATTACTTATATGTGCTTCAGATTATTACCCATGAAGCTATATTTTTTATATTAGTGAAAAACTAGCGTAGTATTCAAAAATACTGGTTCCTTACAAGAAGATTAATTGAAGTATCGAACTGAGAAAGACACTTATGAGTTAACGATATCATTGTATATTACGTTACCTAATAACAGAGGAAATCTTCGTTTAAGCAATGCTTTATTTGAACCCATTCCGAATATGAAAATCAGAGATCTGCTATTTTTATGTAATCGAAATTTCTGACATACAAAAAAAAATGATGAGTTACAATTATCCTCTACTAAGTCTAGACATTAACAGTATATTATCGTGCTACTGGAACGATTGTATCTTGATCATTATCTTAAGCATCACAAAATTAGTTAGGTACACATTTATTCGAAAAAGTTCTTTCTTCTAAAATTGAATCCTGCTTGGTTGCAAAAGAAATGTACCGTTCAATATGAAAGACTTTTCAAGAAAGATTAAATAGATTTAGAATCTTGCATTTAACATTCTTCCCGTTTTAGTTCTGAATTACCAACTGAAAACTCGACGATTGTTCAACATTTTCTAACTGTACTCGCTATATGCAACACATCATTTATGGTTCATGATCATCAAGAACTGATGCATCGAATTGATTATCAACCGAAATACGAAGGCGACAATGCTGATGATCTTGTACTTTGCCAAACAGCATCTGATTTTGGTGTCAGAATGATTTCGCGTTCTGCACAAAATATTCTTGTGCGCCATATTAATTCGACAAATACAGAAAAAGAAGATGTCGAATATGAAATCTTATGTTTACTACCGTTTGATTCTACTCGAAAGCGAATGTCGATTATTGTTCGTCGAAACGATCAAATATTTTTATTTATCAAAGGCGCTGAAACATCCATATGGCCACATTTAAGTAGTTTGAATGACGTCCATATGAAAGCTACTATTGAACAAAATAGTTTGAGTTTTGCTGAGCAAGGCTATCGATCTCTTCTAGTTGCTTATCGACAATTGACATTAACAGAATTCGAGAGTTGGTTTCAGCAATACGAACAAGCAGCTAATTCGCTTGCAAATCGTGATGATGCTATTTCAGATGCTGCAACTGCAATCGAAGTCGAACTGATGCTAGCTGGTCTAACGGCTGTAGAAGATAAACTACAAGACGGTGTACCGAAAGCTATTGCAACATTACGATGTGCTGGTATTAAAATATGGCTTCTAACTGGTGACAAGCAAGCAACAGCGCTGAGTACAGCACAAGCTGCATCGTTAGTTAATATTCCACAAACGTTAACATCAGGAAACAGTTCTCTCTCTAAAGTAAGTTCAAAGATATTTTTATTACGAATATTCATCTCCTGATGACTATTGTAGAATAATTCTCCAGCGACAAACTCTTGGGATTTTGGTGCATCCGCACAAGCTCAATTAAATCAATATACTCACATGATTTATTATAGTTCACAACTCATTGAAATGGATCAACTATTGCGTATGCTTTTGTAGCTTCACCGCTATTTATATTGATGCTTTGTTAAATAGGTACTCGTGGCGGAACTATGTCCGATGAATTACGTACTGGCGAAACGATCTCTCGTATGAGCGAAGTAATAGCTGCACAAAACCTACCTGTTTCATTGGTTGTTACTGGTGAAGATTTAGGTGAGATATTTTCGAATGATTTCCATGTGCATGTAATTGATGTAACTAGGTGTTATCCTTCGATATAAACCAAAAGAATTCATGAAAGCTGCATGCCAATGTCAATCGGTGTTATTTTGTCGAGTATCAGCAAAACAAAAACGTGAACTTGTATCTGTAGCAAAGTCAGTGTTTAAATATCGTATATTAGCTATTGGCGATGGTGCAAATGATGTTGGTATGATTCGCGAATCGAATTGTGGTGTCGCTGTTTATGGTCGTGAAGGATCGCAAGCAGTAGCAGCTGGCGATTNCAAAAGAATTCATGAAAGCTGCATGCCAATGTCAATCGGTGTTATTTTGTCGAGTATCAGCAAAACAAAAACGTGAACTTGTATCTGTAGCAAAGTCAGTGTTTAAATATCGTATATTAGCTATTGGCGATGGTGCAAATGATGTTGGTATGATTCGCGAATCGAATTGCGGTGTCGCTGTTTATGGTCGTGAAGGATCGCAAGCAGTAGCAGCTGGCGATTTCGCTGTTGATCGTTTTGAATGTCTTACTCGTCTTTTACTTGTTCACGGGGCTTGGTGTTTTACTCGAACATGTGAATTAATTCTTTATACGTTTATGCACAATTGTGCCTATGTATTCGTTATTTTCTATCATCAATTATTCAATGGATTTTCTGGCGCTGTCTCCCTTCACTCGTTGTGTGAGTATCTTAAAGCGCCTATTGATATTCGGAAGTATGTTTTCAAGATCGATATATGAAGTACATGTATTTCGATATATTTACAAGCGATTTGTATCAGAAACATATATCTGATAATGATTATATATCTTTTATCAGCTAATTAGTATTTGAACTATTGAATGTTTGTTCCTTCTTTAGATCTTACTCTCTATTCAAGTTTATTTACCGTACTACCGCAGGTAAGCAGGATAAATATAATAAGACATTCAGAGATTCTGTAATAATATGTTTAGTGTGCTGCTGCTCTCTTCGATCAACATGTTCCAGCTGAACGAGCATTGCGTGAACCTCAACTATATAAATATACTCTTCATTCCAAATGCTATCGAATACAGTCTTATTGGATAAATATTTTGGATGCTGTTTGGCAAAGTACAGTGATTTTTTTTATGGCTTATTTTTCCTATCAAACACAATCCAATATGGATGTATCGTCATTCGGTTTTTCACTTATATTCAGTATGGTAATAACATCTTTAATACATGTTATTATACAAACTTCTCGAATTGATTGGTCAGTGATCGCTGCAACTGCATTTAGTATTCTTGTTTTCCTTGGCTTTACATTAATATTCGATAGTATCTGTGTTGATTGTCTTGCAGGCGAAAGTCCCTATCAAGTATCATATCACTCGTTTCAACAAGGCCGATTTTGGTTTACAAATCTATTGACAATTGTCACAGCTATGATGCCTCGGTATACAGTCAAATGTATTTATAATAAAGTACGAAATCCATTTATGTAAAAAAATATTCAATAGATAAACTCGTTCATCTCAACAATTAAATATATATTTCGTTACTTGCCATGTTCAAATCCGGTGCCAATGACTATGACATTAAATGATAAATTAAATCTGGGACTAGTCTAATTAACACTAACTTATCAATAAGATCTGAAATTAACATATAATATTTATTTTTCTTACTGTGATTTCGATAATATTTTTCTTCTATTTCGTTTGTTATTATGCTTTTTACTGCGATGATTGTTATTCTTTGATCGCTTCAATCACTTATATACATGCATATTTTCCAATGCAACTGTTTATCTGTTTTCTTCGATAAAGAATCTGTAAGCTGTCTGATTTTCTCAAAATAAAAGAAAGAAAGAAAGAAAGAAACATTGAATTACGAGTTAGTCGATGCAAGACTAAAATCGAGGAAAACAATATTTTCCTAAGTTGTCATACAGAATTAGACATGCCAGATATGTTTCAAGTACTATTCTTCAAGCACGCATTTTTCCACACAATTGTGTCGATAAGAAAGATAACAACTCCTTATCGACAAATTGTTAGACCAGTTCCTTTAGTATCCATGAAATTGTTATTCAATTATTGTAACTCTTTGCGTCGCTGTGAATGTCATCTTCAAACAGAATAGTATTTAGATTCTTGCGCTATAGAGTATGAAGATTGTACTCGTTTGTCGGTTGCTACTTTGTTGTTGATAGACTAGCCTTTTGTTTTTTTTTTAATTATTTTCAATCGTTCGATTATTGACGGAACTTTTCTTAACTTAACGTTATTGACTTTTAACAGAAAAATAAAAATTGATTTGTTTCAGTGAAATGTACCCACGATAAGATTGTTTTTTTTTAACTTAAGGCCATTCGACGTAGTGCAAAGAGCGACTTTCATAATACTCTACGGCTGGAAATTTTTTTTTTCCTGCAAACATGAAAAATCATACTAAATAAGAACGGTAAAACATTATAAGAAGGAAAAAAGAAATGCTTTTGATGCGAATAAAAAACAGCCGTTCCGCAAGATGCTCGATTCAAATCAGAAAATGAGCGAAGTATCGCCGACTCAGAAATATTATTGCCATAAATTGTTAGCGTTTTTGTTACTGTTATGGTTGGAAGCAAAGAAAACTAAACAACCAGTTATATTCAACCCATGTGTGCTCTTTAAACGTCACCATATTCTATACAGAAAGAAAAAAAGAGACAAATGCCAGAGAAGAAATGATTTTTTTTCTAACAAGAGTGAAGCCAGTAATGTGGTTACTACCAGCATACTCGAACGTTCGAAACTTTTAATAGCGATACGATGTTGAACACTACGATATACATACATATCTTAGAGTATATGTAAGAAATTGATTTTTATTGTTATCAATCAATAGCTAGATTTTTTTATTCTCGATTGTTACGATACACAAAGCGAATTTTTATTGCATTTATCAACTATCCTACTAAGGTGTGACTCATTTTAATACTTTGCACCGCATGAAAGTCATTGTCACGTTATAAGGTACGCTTATCAATTCTTTCTATTGTTCTCAAGTAGAAGAACAAGAAAAATTACAGCAAGTATAAAAGCATACAAGCTTCATTTGCCGACATTTACACTAAAACCATATTAACGACAATGGCAACAGTACGGAAGAAACGTATTTATTTTGCTCGACACGGCGAACGTATTGATTGGATCGATAAGAATTGGATGGCAACGGGCGAGCGACCTTCTGATCCGTCACTATCTCATTATGGTCTTCAGCAAGCACGTGAACTCGCATTATATGTCGCACAAATTCAGCCACGAATAACTCATATCTATGCATCACCATTTTTACGCACTATTCAAACAGCACTACAAGTAGCTCATGAACTCAATAGGCATGTTTCATCAGCTGATGAAATTATAAAAATTCGATTAGAACCAGGATACGGTGAATACTTTTTTGATGAATGGGATCAAAGTACGATATATCGACCTTCAAGTCAACTGTTCGAGGCCTCACAAAATATTGCATGCATCGATCAAGATTACGATAGTGTAATTAAAAGTGACTATTACTTGCAAACGAAAATCGAAAGTCGTCAGCAGCTACGAAATCGTTTGAAACGAGTCATAGAGAGTACATTAGACTCTAGTAAGGATGACTCCAATATTTTGATCGTTACTCACGCAGCACCATTAATTGAAGGAGCTAGGGCATTAGCGACAATCACCAGAGAACGGAATCAGGGAATGAACAACATGGAAGAAATCGAAAACCAAAAGAATCTAGAAACAAACAATCTCTCTAAATGGGAAATGCTTCCGATTCGAGCAGGTGTATGCAGTTTGACGTATTTCGAATTAATCGATGACAAATGGATCCTGTTGGAAAACGGACTCGCTTCGTACTTATCAAAAGGTGAACAAAATGTTTGGATATTTCCAGATGATTCATCACTATACGAACCTTCAGAATAGATTACAGTAAAGAGCACGCAATTTTTGCTACATTAAATTTCGAATTTTTTTATCAGTTGGTTCATTCAGAAATTAAATGAGACAATCAATTATAGAAGGTTTAGAAAATTTTATAAAATATCTTTTAGATGCTCTCTATCATTTGATTGCTTAAGTGCTGCAGAATAATGTTACAGGTAAAACTAAAAGAAAACAAGTTTTTTCATAACCTCTTAGAAGTGATGAGCTAATATGGATTAATCGAAGGCCTCATCGAGCTCTTACTTCATTAGTAATAGTTATATTCTGTAATGGATAACATTTTCCCATGCCAATTCAAGCATAGTCCTGTGTAGCTAAGCTCTCAAAACAATTCTGGATTTTGTCGTCAAAGGATACAGTTTTGCAAATGTATCAAGTACAATATAGTTTTCACTTACTTTGAAGGGGCAACACGAATAAGAAAACAGTTCTTGTTTCATTTCAGTTTTTTCAAACACAACAATCGAGTTGTATACATGAAATAGTAGGGTATGACGTTCCAATCATTCTGATTTCATCTTTGAAGTATTCTGATGATCATACTATATGTCTTCTCAGGGCGAAGTTTTCATTTCAAAATAAATAATTAGGTAATAATTCATTGATACTAGTCGTCCATGTTGATTTTAGTTTAAAATAAAATAAAGAGGTTCTTATTTGAGGTAGATTTAAAAACAAATTCACTTAGCACCACCCTATCTGCATTTTACAATAGCGAATACATGTCTTCCACTGTTTGCATCATAAAACAGCATTATTCAAGTATATGTTGCGGTTGTCATTTCACTGTTGCACTAATAATAGGTCTTCCACAGTTGTTGCACATACATTTTGACTAGAATACTCAAATACTCGCTGCAAAACAGGAGCTCTTGTTCAAAATCTAAAAAACTGACTCAGTCTAGAAATTGCCAAGTATTTCGACTAATATTTGATGTATTTTTGAAAGAAAAACTACTGCTCGAGATCAAACTAATAATTTATTTGAAATCAACAGAAGGATCACAGTCGATCTATCTATTCTCATTGAAACTTTGATTGAAGCTCCTCTTTTCTCAACCAACAATACATTCTATTTCATCATCAAGAATCAATCCCAAAATGATTTCGATCAATTCACCTAATTAATCGTTTACTGGAGTATATTTTTAGTTATGTGATATTATTTTACAAGTTCCGAGGTTTCTTTCAACTATTTGAATAATCGTTTGATGAAATTTATTTATCGATTGAACATTGAAGAAGACCAACCATGCAAATAATTTGAAGAATCCATTAACCAATTTAATTATGGATGATGTTACCAAAAATAACGAATTTGATAAAAATCAATCAAAAAATAATTAGCTAATTTCAACAATCAGAATCATAGCAGATTATACAAATTCTTACAGTTAGTCTTGTTTTTCTCTGGTATTGAGCGTTTGGCGATCTGTTCATTCTTATTTTTGCAATACTATACGTTTCTCAACAGCTAATCGAAGAAAAATTTGTTTATCTGTACTTTTCCATCTTTCCTCTTCGCTGTTTATCAACTTATTAAAATATTATTTATTTAATATTCTAGTAATATAATGCATAACTATGATTGACCTGATGGGCTAGTAGCTTTATTTCAAAAGAGGAGTCTATTATCTTAAATCATCCCGAGGAAAAATCCTATGGCAGTACTGCAAATTATAAGGGTTACTAGTACTCATAATAATGATTTTACTACAATATTTTCTACCTAACAACCGTTTCGTCAGCTCAAGTATTAAAAAAAGCATTCATTTTTGTAATTCTGTTCTTGATCTCTTTAAGGAAAGACTTTATAGTACGTAGACAGAGAAACTCTGAATAGATACATTATAAGAAATCTCTTCATTTCATCTAGCGCCATCTTTTCCGGTCGACTATAACTCTTTCAGGTTTGGTTAGAGTCACATTGTATCGTATCGAATAAAAATCGATTCGGTATTTGTTGGTAATAAATAAAAGGATGATTTCTTTCCACTTAACCTTTGTCGCTTTAATTTTCACTAGTTATGCACTTTCCTTTGACGTAATATTATTTGAGACTCGATCTCTCCACCATGAGTCATAATTCGGAAGAATATGCTTGCGCAATTTTTTTGTTGATTTTCACTTATTTTCTTCTTTTTAAGATTCATATTCATGCGAATGCTGAATAGAAATGGCAAACAAAAACAAGAAAACACCTATACCAAAGTAAAAACTTTGCTACTGACAAAAATCAATAAGGAAAAGCGTGAATTTACTTTCTAGAAAAACCAATATCACTGAAGATATTGAAGACGATGATTACGATACTGGTGATGTTCCACGAACTAATTTGTTTCAAACTAAGTTTGGTTTCCTAGCTTCTGACGATGAAAACGAAGGTGGGAATAATCATAATGATGATGATGATAATAATGATGAAGATACACCAGCTGTCAAAGCCACATCAATCTCAACTTCTTCAAAAAAGAAATCAACAACAAAAAAGAAAGCTCAATCGTCAAAAACTAAAAAAGAAGATGACGAAATTGACTCATTATTAGCTGCTATTGAATCAACCAGTGTATCATCAAAAAAAAGCGGAAATAAAAAAAATAAACAAGCAACAACAGTAACGTCAAATGTTGATGAAGGAAATTTTAAAGAAGGTGAAGGACAAGATCTAGAAGATATTTTGAAAGTAAGCTGAATTTTAATAAAAAGAATTTTACTTATTTGATTTTTTTGTATAAAGGAAATCGACGAGAAATTCGATGAAAAAGATCGTAAAAAAGAAGCAAAAAAAGATAAAAAGAAAAAGAAAGAAACTAAAGGTAAACTATTGTATTGATTAATTCTTCGAATAAACTCTGCTTTGTTTTTTAGAAGTAACAGTAGAAACAAAACCAACTGTATGCTACTTTGATTGTATTAGTATATATTCATGATAATTATGGTTCTTTTTTTAGAAAATTGAAGACATTAAAGAAAAAGTAACGATTCAATCGGAAGTTTTATTGACCACTGTTAAGCCAGAAGCTCCAGACGGTAGAATTGTATATTTCTTCTTCAAAATCTTATTTTGAACAATTTATAGAAGAATCATCGACTGCCGGTACCGATGATAAAAAGACATCATCAAAGAGTAAAAAGAAAGCCGCAGCTGAGAAGAAAGCCAAAGGTGGTGTTGATGCTAAAACTGTATGCTCTTCATTAAAAAATGTCATAATTATTAGTTTTAATTTTCTGTTTTTAGTTAAGTCTTATGAAAGAATTTCAAAAGATTCAAGAAGAAGCCAAATTGAAAGCACTTAAAGACGAGGAAGAAAAACAACGTTTACTAGAGGAGCATGAAAATCAACGCGAAGAAAAATTACGTTTAGAAAAAGAACGTCGTGAAAAAAAGAAACTAAAAGAAAAAGAGCGCATACAAAGAAAAAAAGAAGAGGGTTCTTATCTAACAAAAGAACAACGAGAGAAACTCGAGCGTGCTCGTGTTCAATTGGAAGCTGCTGGAGTACAAGTGCCAGCAAGAGTTACAACACAAGCAGTCGTAAATAATGGAGAACAACCAGTTAAAAAACGAGTTATCTATGAAGATCGAAGAAAGAAAACACAAACGAATGCAAAACGTATATTCCTATTTTACTATTCTAAATAAGTTATTGGTTTAAATTTTTTTTTAGAAGCCGAGCCTACAAATGCCACGTCACAATCAGTTACTACATCGAGTGAAACTGACAAAAAACTTTCCACTAAAGTATGAACTTACTAAAAGAAAAAAAGAATGATTGATTTGCTTGGTGTATTATTGTTTTCTGACGAGAGATATTGTTCGAATTGAAAATTATTGTTGAGATCGAACTCTGTATAGCATACGATTGGGATCTATTTGTTATGAAAAATTGCAAACGATAAATCAATCCCTACGACTTCCCTATAAAGCTATAGTGATTTAAATAATACTTTATCTACAAATAATATCAATTGTACATTCAATATCTCATCAAGAAAATATTCCTTGAGTTGATATTTTTAGAACATTTAGGTTTAGATCTAAACATATCTATGGACTAAATTTTATGTGAAAATATTGTCATTAAATTATTTCGTAAATAATCTAATAAACACTAAAACTTGAGTAAAAATCCGTTACAGCTTTGTAATGAAAGAAGTTGCTTTGTAACTCATTCGTATGGTTTTTTTTAGGAACAAACCAATACGAAAGATAATTGGGAAGAAGAAGACAACTTGAAAGATAACTGGGAGCAAGAATCTGAAGAAGAAATAACAGCTGATACTGAAGAACCTGAAACTCCATCAACAGGAGGTAATATATAATAATCTTTTACTGAAAAGAAATATTTTTATAGACTTGAAAAATGACATGGGTAAAATAGAAGTTGTTGAAATATCATTATATGTTTTCTTGAGATTAGCAAGTCTCATAGTTATCACACTGGAATTCGATTTTGACAATAAAAACTCACGTAGCATTTCAATCCTATAATTATGTGTCTATCGTTTAATCCTTTGCCGCCGGGTGTTGCCATTTGGCAACATTCAGTTAATATTTTGAGATGAATTGGCTTATACAAAGAGTGTATTACGTCTTCACAATATGATAATTACTACGACACAATTTAACACAAATTAATAATTTAAAAGACAAAAACAAACTTTCACTAAAAAAGTAATCTTACTTATTCGAAATGCCCCAAAAAGGCATCGGAAGCTTAAAAATAATTTTCTATCTGTTGTAATAATCACTATGGAAAAACAATTACTGATTCATTTTTGTTAGTAAAGTTGTTGCATATTATGTTACTCAAATTTCTTAGTCAATCTACTCTAATAATGAAATATAATGAGATGTTGCAATTTGGCAACAGCCGACCGGAAAGGGACAAAAATTTCGAAAATTTTTTTCGCATGTAATGATCAAATCAAGGTATTTTACACCGTTTTTACTTCAAAATTTTTATTATGAGATTGTATACGTGCATGTTGCAATCAAAACGTAAAATATGATGAAAACTACTGCTATTGAAAAAAATTCTAGTTTTTTGTCGAGAATTTTTCATTTCTTCATGAGAAAAGAAAAAAAATTCAGTATTTAGTGTCTTTGCACTAGAGTCCCTTACTATTCGGCAACATTTTGTCTGAATAATATGAACATATTGTTTCTTAACATGCTCTAATAGCTTTGAGAGCGAGTGTGAATAATTGAACGAAATGTACTATTGCTGTTTGTATTATATACTAAAGTCATCCATCGCGCAGTATGATCATTGGTGAAAACAACGTAACAAAAACATAATTTTTTCAAATTATTGGCTCTTTATTGCCGGCTGTTGCCAAATGGCAACATACAGGTTTTGTAATAAAAAATAATATTTTTGTTTCTAAAGTTATATTTTTGTTATACTTATGATACAACAATAAGAAATATGTGGAAAAATAATTTTTTGCTATTCGCCTTCTAGGAGCCGGCGGTAAAGGGTTAAACAAATATGCTCCTAATTCGTGTAGACATTTTGTTTCTTCTAAATGCAATGTTTCTATTCTTCATTCATAGCTGATCGCGTAAGTTTGAAAACTGCAGCTTCTGTTCCATCAACAAGAACAACAGTTACACACGAAGAACATGCTGAAAGTTCAGAAGGTGAATCCTCCGATGAAGAAACTTCATCTGATGAAAGTGATGACGATAGTTCATCAAGTGCCGATGGTGAAAATGATCACATAACACCAATGGAACGTGTACGTCGTCGTTTACAACGACGTCATGTTACATATGAAGGTCGTCGTTCTTCTGAAGTACTTCGGGCACCTGTTATTTGTGTATTGGGCCATGTTGATACTGGTAAAACGAAAATTTTGGATAATCTACGTCGAACGCATGTGCAAGATGGTGAAGCTGGTGGTATAACACAACAAATCGGTGCAACAAATGTACCATTAGAAACACTACGCGAACGAACGAAAATGTGTAGAAAATTAGTCACACGTGAAGGTGATTATCTTATTCCAGGTCTTCTAATTATTGATACACCTGGACATGAGTCATTTAAAAATTTACGATCACGTGGTTCATCACTTTGTGATTTGGCTATACTTGTTGTTGATTTAATGCATGGATTAGAACAACAGACACTGGAATCGATAAAATTGCTACTTGACAGAAAAACACCATTTATTATTGCTTTGAATAAGGTTAGTTATTATTCGATTTTTTTTGTTCTGAATAGATGTTTTCTGCTGTTTATGTTTAGATCGATCGATTATATAATTGGAAAAGTGATAATAAAAGAAATGTTGAACAAGTTCTACAAGAACAAAGTCCAAATACAAAAAATGAATTTGAAAAACGATGTAATGATATCATTGTTCAATTTGCTGAACAAGTAAAAAAATTTGTTTTTTTCTATTTTTAAAAATTAAAAAAAAACTGATGCCGTTTCTTGAAGGGTCTCAATGTTGCACTTTATTATCAAAATTCTGATCCAAACGAATTCTATTCTATGATACCAACATCAGCGCATACTGGTGATGGAATGGGTTCATTAATTGCAATGATTCTTGAAAGATGCCAAACCACGCTTGCTAAACGTCTATCATATACTGATGAATTACAAGCAACTGTTATGGAGGTTAGTTGATTCTTATTATATTCAATAAGAGGCACATTTTGCTATCTTTCTGTATTTATACATAACTAATACCAAACAATTAAGCGACAACTAAAAGTTTCAATTTGTCATGAAAAAACATTTCTAACTGTGTAATCTTCATTTACCTATGACTATTGTGTTTCGATCGACTTTGATACATAGTAAATCAAAAGATTTTCATTTGCTGAGTTATCATAATCATGTTTCAACCTACATTTCTTTTGAAACTCCGTTCTAATCAATAATACGTAGACATTCTATACTGATTACTTCAATTAGTGCAGAATGGAAAATTCAAACAAGAAATACTTTTTTTACTATTCATTCTCGTACGTTGAATGTAGGCAATCTCAGATTTAATGTAATATAGCAGTTGAGATTCTTTTCTGGCCAAAGAACTCGATGAAGTATTACAACATTGTAACCGGCTGCCATACAAATATTAAGCGCCATTTCTCAATACACATGATAACGTATTGTTACAGATCCGAAAAGATATGAATTAACTTTTTGATACGAGAGTTTTTAAAAGGTAAACTATTGTTATTTCTTATCTTATGTTATAGGTAAAAGCAATTGGTGGTCTGGGTACAACAATCGATGTTGTTCTTGTTAATGGACATTTACGAGTTGGTGATACAATTATTGTTGCTGGTCAAGAAGGTCCAATTGTAACACAAGTTCGAGGTCTTCTCATGCCAGAGCCAAATAGAGAACTACGTGTTCGAGTAAGTTATGGTTTTTTTTCCCTTTTAAATTACGACTTTATTTTTCAATGCTATTGTAAAATTTAGAATCAATATCAAAATTATAAAGTAGTAAAAGCTGCTCGTGGTATTAAAATTGCCGCTAAAGATTTAGAAAAATCTATGGCTGGTTTGCCGTTATTTGTTGGTCGAACAGATGACGAAGTTGAATATTTCAAAAACGAAATTCAAACTATTCTCAAAACAGCTCTTAATTCAATCAGATTAAAAGAAAACGGTGTTTATGTTCAAGCATCAACATTGGGCTCATTGGAAGCATTGCTTGAGTTCTTAAAAACATCCAATATTCCGGTAAACTATTTTTGAAAACTAAAGATACTCAATCGATAACCCGTCTACTTTAGTATGCTGGTATCAATATTGGACCTGTTCATCGTAAAGATATTATTCGTGCATCAACTCAATTGGAACGAGAGCCACAGTAAACGAAAACAAGATTTTTTTCTTTTCTTACATATGAATATTTATCTTTTTAGATGGGCAGCTATTTTAGCATTCGATGTTCGAATTGAAAAAGATGCTCAAGATCATGCAGATAATGTTGGTATGTTAAAATGATTAGGTTTAATACATCAAAATTTTCCTTACGAAACACAATTTGAATGCACTGCTAATTTGTATAGGATAAAAGTTCTACCACGAAATGGAACTAAACGATCCGTTTAGAACTTGTAAGAGTCCAAATTCAATCTATATCTCCTCTCTCCTACAGAAAGTAGATTATTACAGATGTTGTTGATATAAGACTAAAGCTGTTTTGCTAATATCTCCTTATTACATTTATAAGGGATCTAGTAAAATCAAAGTAAATAAATAATTCCAAAAAAAATTGAATACAACTATATCTTTATAATTAGTAGGCTAGTAGCTACATCGTGTTTCATGATCGAATCAGGGGTGGCAGTTTAACTTTACTTTAACCATAAAGTTTAATGTCACCTTTAGAACGCTTCTTTTTAATACTTTTGACTGTACTGACGTATTTAGTCATGCTTATGAGACTCTCTGCAACAGATAAAACGCCAAAAAGAAGCATTTAAGTGTGACTCTGAACGACTTTAAACTTTGCACTTTATGGTCAATTTAAAGTTAAAGTGCCACCCCTATTTTTGGTAAAAGATATTTTTTTACGAAAAGTATCAAGCAAGTTACATGCAGTTTTCATGCTGATTCTGAATGTACTATTTGTTTCTCTACCAAAGTAAACTTTAATGATATAATTGCCTTGATACCAAGGCTTACTTAGATGATTTTCACTGAGTGCGACTATTATGCTTCGTACTAAATACTCGTCTGCATCTTGGTGACTTTTTAGTGACACATCAATATATGCAGAATATCAAGAGCTGCCAGAATGCACAGTTGCTTTTGTATTTACCTAGCTAGAAAATAAGAACAAAAGAGAACAAAAGTTGGTTTTGGAGAAATGTGAGGACTATGGTGCCTTCATTGTGCTTTCTTTCTCATCCAATATGTGTCATTCAACAGGTTCTTGTATAGAATAGTAGAGAATTTCACGCGCTATCAGAATATATGCGAATATTTGAATATATAAAAATAATAAATTAAAAAAACTAGCACAATTTTTTTGCCTTCAAGTGAATCTTTCTCGAAAATATAATAATCTCGGTAAAAAAGAATTTTCGGCACTAAAAATCAAAATAGCAAAGTTTTCAGCACATCATTCGATGCAGTTTGATGTGCTCTTTCATATGGCACTATATTTAACTTCATCTATCTCACTGATTTGATCAATTGACCTTGCATACTGGGCCCTATTTTCTGAGCCAGATCGATCGCACGGAGAAATGTTTTCAAACATAAGATACTTTCAATATCATCAAACGATAGCCCATTGACTATACTATTAATGGTGAAAAACGTTTTGTTGCAGCTCTTATCACTCTTGAGAAAATGAAAATCTACTGAAAATTGTCGAAGTACAAAAAGTCCGACCCCGTCTTACTTCGACTGCATATATCTCCGGAATGGATCATCTGTTCGAGCTAAAATTTTCAGTTTCTTCCTAACTGTGTTAGGACTACCTACTATAAAAAGATGAGCCAAATCAGTGAGATCGATTGAGCAAGGTTGTTCGTACCTTACGTGCAATGTCTCCTAGTTCGAATTCCATATAAACTACACTAACAATTTTATTTTAACATAGGAGTGAAAATCTTTCAAGCCGATATAATTTATCATCTATTTGATATGTTTATTGCTCACCGTGAACGCCTCAAAAAAGAAAACCAAGAAAAATTTCGACATCTTGCTGTATTTCCATGCAAATTAAAAGTTTTACCACAGTATATATTTAATTCTCGTGATCCAATTATATGTGGTGTTACTGTTGAAGATGGTTTTGTTAAATTAGGTACTCCAATATGTGTTCCATCAAAAGAAGTATGTCTTATTGAATAATAATATAGATGAAGTGAAATATAAAATTAATTTTAAAAACTATAGTTTATTGAACTTGGTCGTGTTGTTAGCATTGAATTAAATCATAAACCATTAGAAATAGCGAGAAAAGGTGCAGAAATTTGTATTAAAATTGAACCAGTTGGTGGTGAAGCACCAAAAATGTTTGGCCGACATTTTGATGAAACTGATATATTGATGAGCAAAGTAAAATGATCTATGTCATATGTAAGATTACAAAATTTCTTTAATGATTTGGTTTTAGATTTCTCGTGAATCGATTGACGTTGTTAAAGATCATTTTCGTGATGATATGCAAAAATCTGATTGGCAGCTAATGATTGAATTAAAAAAGATATTTAACGTTCTTTGAAACAATACAAAGTAAAAAAAATAAAGGTTATACACAGTGAATTATAGACAATACTGCGAAACAAGAAAAAGAAAAAAAATGAATAGTTTGTCTCTTTACACATGTACTGTTTTCTTTTTAATTCATTTCATTTGTTGTTGATTTCTATATCATGTTATAAAAAGGACATTCACAAATTCATGATGACTCCTTTATTTTTTTTTCATTTTTGTTTCACAAAGATTATAAAGAACGAACTTATTAATATAAAAGAAGGACAGAACGACTGGTGAAAGTAATTATTTTTTTTTGTCTTTTATTTGTACTTTTGCGATAGAGATTTGATTTGACACGAAGCGGACCATTTGCTGTAACTTAGTCATTGCGTGACGTACATAGGGGGTGGCACTTTAACTTTACGTTAACCGTAAAGTTTAAAGTTGTTTAATGTCGCCTTTAGAAACGCTTCTTTTTAATACTTTTAACTGTACTGACGTACTTAGTCATGCTTGTGAGACTCTCTGCAACAGGTAAAACGCCATAAAGAAGCATTTAAGCGTAAGTTTAAACAATTTTAAACTGTGCACTTTACGGGCAATTTAAAGTTAAAGTGCTACCCCTAGACGCACATCAGAATATTCATTAAGTTTCTTTTTTTGCTTTGATATTTGGTCGTGCAAAGGAAGTTAGTTAAAAAAACCAAACGCAGATGTTTTTATAATGAATTCTTAACGAGTAATACTGCATTTAGTTCATGACGAATACATTAACTTCACTATATTGAAAGACATAAAATTTTTTTAATGACTAGTCTGATCACAAAATGATGTGAAAAGTAGGAGCATTAAAGATTTAATAGACTATTGAATTAGTCCATCGTGCGTCAAAATATAGATTCATATTTTTATAGATTTCTCGTTTCAAAGCTAATAGTAAATAATTTCATTTGATATTCAACATTCAGCCATGTATGTTGAAGGCATAATCAAATAACTGTGACGTACCTACAATGAATAAATATCGGCAGATGCTTGATTTTCACGATTAAATAGATAATTATTGTTTTAACCGACGTAAAAAGCTCAGCTAGTTTCTACTAGATATCTGCAACCATGTAGATCAACCACTTACTAAAATCATTCAAAGAATCATCAAATTATATTTAAGTAGAATAATATAGACTTCTCGCAACTCAAGTACATAATAGAGATATCTAGGTTGTTATCTTTACTCAAGAATAGGCTCTCACACACAGTGATGGGTGCAGTATAGTCAACAATCATTCGTCGTTTTATTTGAATTCAAGATATCTATTGTAGGTTTGTAACTAGTTTAAAATTGAGAGATTCCGCATTTAATGAAATCACGGAATCGAATGGCAAGTATTGATGAGTAGAACCATGTTATTATCAACCAAGTGAAGCGTCACACTATGATAGACTCAGAAAATATCAGCAAATTGAATTTGAAGCGTATAACTATACATTTTAGGCTAGCATAGCTACATTGTATTTGACATGTTTTGTATATTTTATTAGGAGAAAAAAAAGAACTTTATGCATTAATAATATGTCTAGTGCATTTTTAAAATAAATATTTCTTCTTAGCTCAAACCTTTTTGAGATGATAAAATAACGTAGTACACATAATAGTTACAAAAATTAGTATTCTAATTATTTGATCAATTCATTTGTTTAGCATTTTCCCCAGTAAATTATTTCAAGTTCTCTAATGATGTATCTTCTATTAATGCCTCACCGTCAATTTACATCCATCCATTAGACTATACGAATTGCTATTAAATGGTGAGAAGATGTTTTTAGTTTAAGTATATTATCTTTTTTTATTTCCACAATATATTTATCAACATCGAAACGTTCCGTCGTTTTTGCCTAACGCTGTCCCAAAATAGTGTTTTTTTTGTTCATCACTGTCCTTCAAGTACTTTCTTAATGTTTTTTCATTGTATTATAAAAAAAAACACTCGTCTGTATCAATATTTATAATTTGTTTTCAAGGATGCACTAGAAAGCAAAATATTTATGTAATGGTACTCTGTCGCTATTATATTCTCCTCACGATTGTTTTTCTTCTGTACATACGATTGTACAAGGTCATATTTTTCGTAATCGTGATATTGAGAACAATCAAATACGAAGCATTTGTCTAAATCTGAAGCTAGAACACGTATTCTTGTATTAATACTATACTTTTTCCTCGCTGAGATCCAGTTTTCTTAAAGTTTCGATATGTTTAAAAAAAGCTACAGAATTTAGTCGCTTTGGTATTTGTTTTTAAGTGAAATAGCTACCCATATCGTTAATTATAGATGGCAAATATTCTTTATTGAAAACATAGTTTGCTGCCAATTGAGTTCTCATCATCATCGATGTCGCCATATGCGTTCAGAAACTGCTGTCGGGTTTCAATCGTCTGATTATTCGAAACATAAATTTTGAATTGAAAGGGAGAATAACAAAACATTGATTTTAGCAAAAAAAAACAAAAGTTTTTTTTGAGAAAAATGATATGTAACTGGTTGTGAAAACAATTGTTCGTCTTCGTCAGAGATGCGAGAATTTTTGATAGTCAATATTCGAAATTTTTCATAACACCACCATTGAATGCAATTTCAAGGAATTCAAGTTCTTTTTTTTCAATTCGCGCATAAAATCAAAATCAATTTTCTTGAAAGGCCATTTTTCTTACTTTACAACAGTAAAGGTTCTAGTAATTATGATGTAGCTTATACTTTTCAGCAGTCTATCGTTCGTTATTACAGTTCTTCGTGAGTGATTATTTTTACTTTTTGGATGCATGGAGCAAAGTCATCATTTTGTGTTGTTGTGTTCGTTGCAAAGGAGAATTAGAAAATACTCTTCCAAACCGAATGTTAAGGTAGCGCAATAGAATCGTTTTTTACTGTTTTTTGAGCGTCTGAATCTCGTTTCCTTTACTTTCATATGATGAATGAGATAAGAAATTTAATATTCAATCGATATTGCTCTCGTAGCACATGCTAACATAGATTGATAGAATTCTTTTTGTATCGCTATTTTTCTCTTACACCCTAATATGCGTACTTCACAAACTATTCCGTATTCACGTTTTTCTTGGCCCATAAGGTGAAATTATTAATGTTACTTTGCATGACACCAGAAGCATCTATTTTTCGATTGAACGTTGTTAGAAAGTTCCGTGTTTTCATATGATCTGTTTTGTTTTCAATAACTTCGATAGTCTGACTTATTCGAAAGTTGTATTTTCTCATAACGAGGAATCTAGTTTTCGCATTTTTTTAAAACTCTATTAACTTAGTTTCAGTTTTAAAACTAATTCATTCATCTAATTCACGTAACTCTAACATTATTTCATAGTAGTTTTAATTAATTACAATTCGTTCCATTGATTTTTGCTTCGCATAGGTTCTTTGACAATACATACATGTATATTAATAGTTGCTTCAACATTATCTTTCACCATTAATAGATTTTGATACTAACATCAAAATGCCATCGATTCCATTATTTCAATGCCAGATAAATACTGATGATATGGCTTTCATAGGCAAAATTCTTCAGCAGCAACATTTCATTCAACAATCCGCATCATCTAAATTTTTCAGAACCAATGTAGATTACAACATTGAAGTTGATTTATCTCAATCATTCGAGCATCCATTGATTGTATGCTGTTGTTCAAAAATCCAGGCCTCGTTACCAAAATTAGTATCTTTCTTAAAATTAAATTCTTCGTCAACAGTAAATCTTATTATTTTAAATCAATCGTCTAATGCCGTTGATTGGAATTCTGTAATTAATCTTATAGCAGTATACAATTTATCACTGAATGTTGTTAATGATGAAGATAGTTTACTTAAAAAACTTTATGAAATAATAAGCAATTCAGCAAAAGCAAATATCGAAAAACAATCGATTTTAAAGTATAAAAAATTTGATGCTCTAGCTTCAGATACTCAGGTAAATAAGTAGCTTACTTGCACGGCATGCACCTATGAATCGAGTGATAGAAATCATTCAGGTAGAAAGGACGTATAAATTAAACAGATTTCTTTTTTCTCATCCATAAAGTCGTCGTGCCTACACTATCAATGATTACTAATGAAGTATGAATCGAATCCTTGAATACTGCCTATCATATTGATAAATGATATTTTTATGTTTTATTTCTGCTCAATATTATTTTGATTTTTAGAATCCAGCTAATGTTTTCTATTGTGGATCAAAACTTACGCGTGATAAACGTGCGGCAGCATTAGGACAACGCGGTACATTTCGAGGTTCAACAGTTTGGTTAACTGGTAAATATTATTGTTTGATAAAACTATGCTTATTTCTTCTACTGAGATTTATTTTTTTATTTTATTTAGGACTTTCAGGAGCTGGAAAGTCGACTATAGGGTACGAAAAAACAAACAAACAAATATTTTGTTTTCTTCTTCTTTTCTATGAACGATTGTTTATTTTTGTTTTTTATCATTTCAAGTTTTGCATTAGAAGAATATATAGTGAGCAAAGGTTTACCGGCCTATTGTCTTGACGGTGATAATATTCGATGTGGTCTTAATAAAAATCTTGGGTTTTCTGATACTGATCGTGCTGAAAATATTCGACGAATAGCTGAAGTTGCAAAACTATTTGCTGATGCTGGTCTTATGTGTATTGTTGCTTTTATTAGTCCATATAAAGAAGTAAAAATCTTTTTGATAAAACGTATTATTTTAAATGTTAATTAACAGGATCGAGAATGCGCAAGAAAATTACATGAAAATGCTCAAATTCCATTTATTGAAGTTTTTGTCAATACACCTCTGTCTGTATGCGAACAACGTGATACTAAGGGTCTATATGAAAAAGCCCGACAAGGATTGATTACAAGTTTGAATATTGTTTTTGTCTGTATTTCGTATTTATAGTAATATATTCATTTAGATTTTACGGGTATTGATGCACCATATCAAGAGCCGTTAAACCCCGATATTGTCATTGATACAAGTGTGATATCTATCGAGCGTGCTCTTGAGTTGATCATAGAACAATTAGCTCAACGTGTAAGTTTATGGAAATTGAACTCAAAGAAAATTGACAGTCAACACGTTAGAATTCATTTTCCTTGCAAATCAATATCGTCAGATATGAATAGAGAGTTAAACTATAGCATATTATTTGCATATCGTATTTTATAGTTTCAATCTTTAGTAACCTGATTGTATATTCTTAGAAAGTTTTATCACCATCATTAATTCTTTCCGTCCGCGAACTTTTCATGGATGAAGATACGCGCAAAGATGCGTTAGAAGAATTTCCAAATTTCCAAAAACTTGATATTACTGAAGTAAGTGAAAATATGACTCGGCTTTGCAAGCTAATGGGAATTTTGTTCTGTTTGTTTTTCAGCTAGATTTGCAATGGGTTCAAGTATTAAGTGAAGGTTGGGCAACTCCACTTGCTGGTTTTATGCGTGAAACAGAATATTTACAATGTTTACATTTTGGTTGTCTGATGAAAGGTGAATATTTCAGTTAAACGTTAGTTTTTTTGTCTTTTCTATTATGAATAACAAAATAGGAAATGTTGAAAATCAAACCATTCCCATTGTTTTACCATGTACAACAGCTGATAAAGAACGTTTACACTCATGTTCAATAATTGCTCTGTGTTATAGAGAAAAATTAGTTGCACTCTTGAAACATCCTGAATTCTATGAACATAGAAAACAAGAAAGATGCGCACGAATTTTTGGCATAACAGATTCTGCACATCCTCATATTAAAGTAATAATTTATCACCCATCAATAGTTTAGCGATTTAAATATTAATTTTATATTATGTAAAGATGATTCTTGAAAGTGGTGATTGGCTCATTGGTGGAGATCTCGAAGTAGTCGAGAGAATTCAATGGAATGATGGTCTTGATGAATTTCGTTTAACACCAAATGAGTTACGACATCGTTTTCGTAGTATGAAAGTAAAGAAACATGATTATAGTGATGGAGTAAATCTTTAAATAAATATAATTATGAAATTTGTTAGGCTGATGCTGTATTTGCTTTTCAACTTCGAAATCCAATTCATAATGGGCATTCACTTCTTATGCAAAAAACCCGACAATATTTAATCGAAAAAGGCTTTCACAATCCTGTTCTATTGCTGCATCCGTTAGGTAGATATTTATCTTTTGTTTTTGATTTATGCAATACTATCGAAGAAAATTGTTGAAGTAAATGAGTAAAAATGTTGATATCCTTCTTCAGACAGTGATAGGCATCTTGACAATTTTTACCACGAAGATGTGAATAATAACTGCATCCCGTTTTAAAGTTTACATTTACGAATACTATGCTGATCACGTCTTTTCTGATTGATTTAAGGTGGTTGGACGAAAGAAGATGATGTTCCATTAAATGTACGCATGGCTCAACACCAAGCTTTTTTAAATGAAGATTTAGATGATCGACTTGATCGTTCTCGAACTGTTCTGGCTATATTTCCATCACCAATGAGTTATGCAGGTCCAACTGAAGTACAGTGGCATGCTAAAGCTCGTATGTGTACGGGAACGACATTTTATATTGTTGGTCGAGATCCAGCTGGTTTACCCAATCCATCAGATAAATCGAAAGATCTTTATGAGCCAACACATGGCTCAAAAGTATTAACTATGGCGCCGGGTCTTAATCAATTACAAATATTACCATTTAAAGTAGCTGCCTATAATCGAAGTTCGAAAACTATGGCTTTTTATGATCCAACTAAACATGATGAATTTGATTTTATATCTGGTACACGAATGAGAAAGATTGCCCGAAGTGGTGAACAACCTCCCGATGGATTTATGGTACCAGCAGGATGGAGAGTTTTAGCTGATTATTATCAATCATTAGCAAAAGAATCTGGAGATGTTGTGAAAAACTAATTCGCTATACAATGTGATGTTTCAGTATAATACTAAGTCTTTTTTTCTTCGTAATTATATATTCTTTGAGTTAAGCTTTTTTCTTCGCTTTTAAACACTGTAATAAATAGAATGAGAAACAAATAGCAATACAATAACAAAAACTAAGAATATTTCTACTATGGCAAAAGTGACTGATACAAGGGAGAAACGGCGGATTTTCGGATTTTTTCGGATTGTTCATGGATTGGCAATCCCGAAAATCCGCCGTTTCCCCCTTGAACTGGCATTGTTGTTCGTAACAGCCTATTTAAAGTATTGTTTCATCCTACGAATAACACCAACAAAAATTTCATTGAATTTTTGTTTATTTATATTGAGCAAACGTTTTAGCATGAATTAGTTTAGAAATCAACACGTATTTTTATTGTACACATTAACAAATGAATACATTCGATTTCGACCAAGAATTTTAAAGTATGAGCACGTCGAATACTATATTCTGTGCAGAGATATGATTTAGACAAACGGTCGGAAGGGAACAGAGTGTGGAAGAAAACCTGCTAAGAACTAGAAAAATGCGAATGGAAGTCTTTTGCAAAATTGAGAATGTGTGAACTTTTTTCTACATGATGGCAGCTTTTCTTCAGACAAAAAATGTTTCTCACACACGGAAACAATGAAAATTTGTGGAACTAAACATTTTATACACTCCACATATATCTTATTCGTGATTGTCCATGTAAACTAACCATACTGAAAGTCTGTTTGATTATCTTTTATGATAAGAGAAAATTATCTGTGGACCGCTCTACAGGTCTGGTGTTTGTTATTTTTTGGTAACTTTCATTCCTTTCAGAAAACTAATAATAATAATTCTTGACAGTAATAATTGTTTATGTTATTCGTACGAAAGTAGCTAATCGTTTGAATTAGGTCTCTATCATCAAAGTGGAGATATTCCAGTGTTTTTTTTCTTCTATCGACTAAGTTATGAATTTTCTATTCTTTCAATTAGTATAGATTATGGCGAACTTTTTTTGGAAATACTATTCCATATATGCTTGTAAACGTCGTTTGTTTTTGAACTTTTTGTGATAAAACTGTTTGAAATAAAGATAAAATTGCTTGAAACTTAGAATCATGATAAAATTTATGTAAGTATCATTGGATGACTTCAAAATGTCATTGAAACATCTTCTCGTATTTATATTATATATAAACAAGCCTTTGGTTTTATTGTATTTAAAACATAATATATCAATACTCGTATATAAATACTGATGTGTCTGCTATAGCGTCAATATATTTTTCTTGATGAGCTCCAATATTCAAGTATCTCTCAAAAACTCATATTAGAAAGCATGGCAAACCTATCTGATACAAGTATAACAGAAATAATTCAGAGAATACTATATTATTTATCTAGAAAAAATGAATTAAAAGCAAGTATTTTCATTTAGTTATTTTTGTTCACAAAATAATAAGAAAAAAATAAATTATAGTCCAGATAACGTCGTCGGAGTTCGATAAATTACTTCATTGTGGATGTTTTTTTGTTCAAATCATCGACACTAGTCAATAATGATAGAATTTCTCAAAATGATTCACTGATACACTTTAATTTAAAAAATCTGATCTAATTAAAGCATTGTCTTGCATTCATGATGTAGTTAAAACCTCTACGAGTGAACAGTCAACGTCTTTTTTCCGGTCCTTTTAGTTTATATAACCTCGTCAATACGAGTATGATTTTTTTACCTATTGGTCTTCTCTATCATTCTTTCTTATAAACTACTAGTGAGTGCTTTTTTTGTATGACTAGACTATCGTGTATGAGAATTCACGAGTGATATCACAACACGAGTAAACCTTTTAAATAAAAAGCACAGTTAATCTGTGATAGTAGTAATTGTAAGGGTTTACCACAACGTAAATTGACTCAACTTTTACAATATTTCACTTAGTTCTTTATCAAATATTTTAAAAAGTAAAACCGAATATTTAAATTTTGTTGAAAACTAATCGAACAAAAATTGTTTTTCTATTATATAGATATATATACTTCCACAATCCTATTAGATCGTGTTTCACAGAATAGATGAACAAAAGAATAAATAAGCAAGACTTTACTTAGTAATAATGTGGAACTATATATAGTGGATCTCTTTTCTTTTCGTTTTACAACAAACTATACTATATATACGTGTGTTGGTGATGTAATCGATCTTACAGATGAGCAAAATTGTCACTGTGATTTTTCCTTCTGATCATATACTTAACTCAATCTTATGGTTCATTATAGAAGAACGACTTTTACTTGTACGAGACATTTATTATCCAGAACCTATCTATCTTCCTAGGTTATATATAAATTTAGAAAATTATTTGAAATTATTAGAAAAATTAATATGTTTCATTCGAAGTAACAGAGTAGATTTAATTATATTATCGCGCAATATTTCCAAAATCAATCGATGTATGCCAATTACGATATTAAAAGCAATAAAAAATGCCATCGATGGCAAAGTAATTATCAAGAAAAAGAAGGATTATTTACATAATAAATATGAATTTGATGACTTTTCGTTTGTAATGGATCCAAAACTTTTACATATCTAAACAACAGAATACCAGTTTATAGTTCTAGTACAACCAATCAAAACGAAATAATAATTAATCATCCAGTTAGAAGTATTATATATACATATATATATATATATATATTTAGAATATGAATTCATGAAGGTAATTAAAAATAAACTACTTATCTATCGAACCCTAAATACCAATCCTTTGCTCATGCAAGATGTCCAAATGCTGCCTTTAGATGCTTCATTATAATAGTGGTGTTTAAATAACGACATTCATTTGTTACTGTAGAGAATGAGCTTTGGCTAATATCTCTGAGAATCCTACAAAACGATCTTTCTAGCTTTACACAACATTGAATACGTCTTAAAGAATTTTTCTAAGAAAGTAAAATATTTTCATTGAATGCTATTTTTAAAAGATTACTTTCTCTAGGAAAGATAATAATAATAATAATATTGTTCTGTTATTGGATTCTCAATATAAATCATAATAGAGAAATATAATTATCGATTCGTTGCTGATACTGAGAGTTTCCAGTAAAGAAAGGAAGGCAATGTAATTATGTCTTATTTGATCATTAAGATGTTTAATCATATACTAAATATAACCAAAACTACAAAGAGACGATCGAAAATAGAATAATATAAAACAATAACAAGAAATCACTCAAATATAATTGTAAAATATGAGGCGCTAAGAAAAGAAGTCCTCCAACTGATTAATCGCTTTTTAGGTGAGACTTTACATATTATATTGACTTTCATAAACGAGGACTACTATATAAAATTACGATGATTATCGCTGCTGAAATATTTCATATTTATAATGATTTTTCCCTTTCGACAATAATAGTATAACTGGTGCTGATACTTCAAATTGAAACTTCGCACGAGAATAGACCTCAATGTGGGCAATTTATTATAAAAGTTACGCATATTTCCATTGTCTCCTATTTTGAAATAATATCATCGAATCTATCGATGCAGAAGACAAACTTTTATTTGCAGTGGATCTGAAACTAAGAGCAAGATAAATCACCTATTTCTATGTACCAGAGATGTTCACAGGGCAACTTTTTGCACCATGTCCTGCCCTGTTGAAAAAAAATGCATAAATTTAAGATGCGTCCTGTCCCTACCCTGCCCTGTCGGTTTTCAGCAGGGCAGGGCAGGGCACCCTGCTGAATTGAAATAGTGTCTGTGTTGTAATTTTTGATATATCTCAAAATAAAAAGACATGTTTCTCATTGTACCATAGAACAGTTTTTGTTTTAGAGTCAGTTCAGACAAGTCACGATGGACCCTTCTTAATCAGCG